TAGGAATCAGTCTCATGTGAAAGAGGAAAGGCATGATGTGTGTGTGTAGAAGTGTAAGGAAAGGAGGTACTATTCGGTTTCGAGGGCCGTAAAAAATCGCCAAACTATTGTTGATGCCAATGCTGCTAAAAATAATTGCAGCAAGAAAGGAAGTATAATAATCAATAACTATTTAAGATTGATGTTTTAATTTAGATGAAAGTTTAATTTCATACAATACTTTTTTATTATTATAATTTATATGAAAAAGGCTAAACGTGACTGAATGGAAGCATAAGATTAAATAACTATTTCAGATCATTATTATAATTTATATAAAAATTGCTAAACATAACTGAATGGATGCCTGCATCGCTATTTCGCTACCGACTTATCGCTAAAGCATAATTTCATCTCATTGGTTCTTCAAACGTAATTTTCTATAATGAATGATGCCTTGAAAATATTCTCGGTAAAGTGCCGAATCGCTCACTTATTTGTTTGCCGCTTTTTACAAGAGTAAGAAGAATTTGATTTTTGTCAATTTTCTTTTACTTCTTAAGTGAAAATAGGTCGATGTGTACATAGATAAAGTCAAGGTTGTGCACAGTGCCATTTTTGTGCAATTCTAGAATTTTTTTTTAACTAAATAGGTCGATGTGCATATGGATACCAAGTATGTGCAATTCTTAAAAATGCATCAAGCAGTGGGTGATTCTGCACTTTACCCAAAATTCTATTGCCGACTTTTCATCATGGGCAATTCCCAAATTGTTAAGTCCAAAGGATATTAAAAAAGGATTTAAGATCAAAAAAGGATTTAAAAATTAAACTAGTATTTCAATGGCGTCTTCAGAAATATAGAACTATATAAACTTACGCAATCTGAAATCAGCGCGCACGCTAGATTTGGCGCTCTGTTAAATAGACACGTTTGCTAGATTTGGCACTTTTGTGCATACATTTTCGCTGCAATTTTTTTACGGCCCTCAAAACAGAATAGTACTAGAAAGGATTTTAGTTTGGTTTAATTAATTTGGACATGTGTACAGTTTTACTACTGATGTGAAAGTGGTTTGGAAAGTGCCCTCAGAAATATGCCATCAAAGATCTCAATGTTTCTAATCACAAGTAATCTAACTGGTATAAATTCTGTACGGAAATTTATATTCATATTATGATGAAAGATAGTTGCAAGACTTGGAGGTGTAGGTAACACTATTAAGGTGGATGAAAGTAAGTTTGGGAAGATAAAGTATGGAAGAGGCAAGCCCATAAAAGTCCATAAGCCCATAAGTCGGGCATTTGGAGGAAGTGAGAGAGACACGCACAGATGTTTTTTAGAGTGGCTCTGAATTGAAGGAGTGCCTGCTTGCTTGATGTAATTAGTGAATGGGTATTGCATGGTACCACAATCATTTCGGACTGATGGGCCGCTTATAAATGTCTGGACACATAAATGTAAACCACAGTTTGACATGCATGTACCTGGTAACAGGTGTGCATACTAATACCACTGAGGGAGTGTGGGCAGAAATTAAACAATTTCTTGGAAATTTACAAATCAAACAGAAGAAATTTCCAATTCATACTTGTATGAATTTATGTGGAGGAAAACATGACCACTCTATTAAGAATGATCTATTTAGGAGCTTTTTTGTCAACACTGCAGACATTTATCCCTCCACTTTACTTGATCCAATGTCTGACGATGAATTTTTTCATAATTCTCATGGTAACACTATATCAGACGTCAATGTAACAGAGCCATATTCATCTTAATTTAAAAATAAGTGAGATGATTCATGGGAAAACAACTTTTTTTTTAAATCAAGGTTAGTGAAAGTATTTTAATTTTTCAGTGTTCGGTAATGAGTAAAAATTTTTGAAACTTAAAATGATTTTCAGTTTTTAAAACGTTTTTTAAATAATTATGTTTTTTGCATAGATTTTCAGTAATTTTTTTCAACTAATTTTTTTTTAAAATTTTATTTTAGTTTTACACCACTTTAAATGTACAGTTAAAAGTCTTTAATCCGGACTCGTCGGGACATCGGCAATTCCGGATTATCGGGTTTTTCCAGATTATAGATCATCAGTTTAAACCTCGTAAGACGGCATGCAGAAATTATAAAATTAAAAATATGAAACTGTAATTTATGAAATAAAGAGCAATTATGATCTAAAAGGTATCAAAATTTACAAAAAAAAAAAAAAAAAAAAAGCTTAATATTTATGTGTTTACTTTATTAAACATGCGTAAAGCATACATTACGCATAGCCAAAATTAGAAAACTGCAACCAGAAAAACTATTTGATGTGTATTCGTGATATTTATAATGACGAGGAATTTGATTTAAATCATATCAAAGACGGAGTACATCGAGATGAAATACTACATTTAGTAAGGAATAATCGAAAGTTCAAAAAAAGCCCAATAAAATAAAAACATCTGCCCTGAAGATAAGGATTGTGCTGACAGATCAACTTCCAGTTCCTTGTGCCCCGCGACGTTCCTCCCAAAGAGAAGCGTAAAATTGATAAACAGATTTTGGAATGCTTAGAGAACCAAAGGATATGCCTTTATCCATCTTTTGAAGCTACTTTTTGTTTGATGGACATAGAAACATGCTTTCACTTTGTAGATCCTTTTGCAGCTCCAGAACTGGAAATTCTTTTTGACATAATCGAAAGTTCAATCTTACTTTTATAAAATTGCTCTAACAGTCTGCAAAAAATAATAAGCCGGATCCAATTAGAAGATGAAGGAACAACGCAATCTGCAACATTAACTGAAATAGATAATTAGATAATTTTAACTTAGCTTATACTGTTTGTTATACATTAAATGTGATGCATAAAGGTATTATGCGCATGCATACACATGTAAACGCTATGCATGTGCAGAAAGTTTGTAGCTTTGAGGTCTGGATTATAGATCATTCTGGATTATGGACGTCCGGATTAAAGACTTTTTACTGTATTACTTTTGGGTAGTTTTGGTTGAATTATAAGATTCTTTGAAATCGTGTCAAAAAATTGTTTGGCTAAAAAATAAGCCAAACAAAAAAAAAAAAAAAAAAAAAAAAAAAAAAACTTGAACACAATATATGAACGTATATAATTGCTATGCTATCAGTATAACTGCTATTAATGTACAATATAATTGCTATGCTAATGCTATCAGTGACATATACACTGGTTATCATAAATTAAGGAAAAATCACAAAAATAGCTATAACTCCCTCAAAAATAAGCCAAACCATGTAAAATTTCAATATGTTGCCAAGTAAGAGTAGCTGAGTAAAACTGCGATATGCAAATTAGTGGCACTGCTTTCGCAATGCGTCATCTGAGAGGAGCATAAAAGTCCATGTTTGAGAGAAAACCCACATATTTCACTGTGACAATGACATTAGAAATCTGAGATAGCCAATTTGTAACAATGACCTCCAGGCATCATTTGCCTTCAGAACTGCGATGGAGAGGCATTCGGAGAGTAGAAGCAGGACAAAGTCAAACAGAAGTGGCCAGATGGCTAAGTGCGAGTCCTTCTGTGGTTCATAAACTTTGGAGGCAATTTCAAATCACAGATTCGGCATCTAGGAGGTTCAGTCAAGGACAGCCAACAGCTACGATGAGCACCGTTGACCGATATTTGAACTCCGACTCTTCTTAGATCCCCCTTTGCTGCAGCCACCGGAAGGTTTGTGTCAATGTCAGCTGTGCGTAGAAGGCTTCACGAAGGTGGTCTGTATACGAGGCGACCAGCCATTTGTGTGCCACTCAAGTCACGCCATAGGAGGGACCATTTTCAGTGGGCACAACAACATATTCAGTGGCCGTCGACTGGACGCCTGATCAATGGAGGGCGGTTCTCTTTACGGATGAGTTCAGGTTTAGTCTAAAAAACGATAGTAGGCGTTATTTGGAGAGAACCTAGAATTTGTTATCATCCGTGAAAGAGATGCATACAGAAAGGGCAGTGTCTGTGTTTGGAGTGGCATCTCTTTGGGTGGATGCACAGACCTCCATGTCTTTCCAAAGAGAACCGTGAATGCTCAGATTTATAGAGATGACATCCTTGATGTTTATGTGTGCCCATATGCCGGGGCAATAGGTGATGCTTTCCTGTTACAGGACGACAAGGCAAGACCACACAGGACATCTTAGATAATTATCTTCAACAGGAAGCAATTATGCACATGGAGTGGCCAGTTCGATCCCCGGACTTGAATGCTATCGAGCACATTTGGGATGCTTTAGGGAGACGTCTAGCTGCTCTCAATCGCCCCCTCAAACCCTTGTTGCACTTGCAACTGTTTTGCAAGAGCAATGGCTCTCGCTTCCTATGGAACTGAGAGACCGCATAATAGAAAGCATTACACATCGCTTATGTGCTGTATTGCTTCTAGAGGCAATCATACTCTATACTGAAGGTACTTTTCCTATAGCAAACTGACACCTTTGATTTGTTCATTTTATACATGTGCTAATTTCTATACTACCATATTTGTTTGGTAATTTCTTTTTATGTTATTTGATACCTTACTATGTGTTGTATACTGTGGGTAAGTTTCATTAAATTCTACATGTAACTTTTTCAGTAATCGTGATTTTTCCTTAATTCATGATAACCATTTTTCCCCCCTTATTTATTTTATTTCAGACAACTGCTATATATTACAGAATATAATATATTCTTATGGATATCAATATATGCAAATACAAATTAAATTTTGGGCTACATTTCGAAAGAAAATTCTAGAAATTTTAAAACTCAGTACAATTTTCCATCAACAAACATTCATTTATATTGACAGCATAACTGTTTTTTTACGAAAAAGGCCACCACCCTTTTAATATAAATTAAAGCATTTATCAGAGAATATAAATTAAATTCAATTCATATGTTTAACTCCTTAAGGAAAACATACGGTATATACTAATTCCCTTTAACAAAATTCTAAACAACAAACGTTATATACAGAAAGAAGTTTAAAAAAGTCGATGTTACTTACGCAGGCTTACGATAAAAACACATTCAATTCATACAGTCAATTTTAAATATAAACAACTATGAATTTTGTCTCATTAAAAACCTAAGTCACACATTCTACTTAATACACAACAGAAAGTGATGCCTTATTAAAAGTCTCAGACAGACAGACAGACAGACAAAGTAGACAGATATTTTCTTTTGCATTTTCTAAGTCTTTCTCCCCGCAAGACGAAAAATAAAGCTGGGGAAGTGGGAAGAAAAGATGAGGGGGAAAAAAGAGTTTCGCATATTTTTATACGATTTTGGAAGGCCAGAACACAAAGCTGGAGGAAAATAATGAAAAATAAAAGGGCAATATTAAACTCGTTATAGAGAAAATTTTCATCATCATGAGATTGGCGCAACAGATCCTTCTGGACCCTGGCCTTCTTCAGAATCCTTTCCCTTCCAGCAACTGACCTCCAGTTCTTAACTTTTAGAATGGTGAAATCGTCTGCCAGGCAGCTCATCCATCTATTCTTAGGTCTTCCTCTTGATCTTCCTCGAAAACGGTTGCATTTGTGGAAGTTTGATCGTGAGGCAAAGACACGTTTGTAAAAACATAAATTTTATTAAACGTAACACTTCGATGTCTACGAGTTGCTTGGTGGGCTACCTCAAAGCTCATGGCGTAGATTAGAATGCGTTTTAAGTCTTTGGTATCCGCTATTCGTAGAGCTTTCTGTATTTCAGGATCCCAGATGCCGTTGTCTGTCGGGCATTCCGAAAAGGCGACATGAAAGAGTCTTTCAAAATACGTGGCAAGTTCCTGGAGCGTTCGATTGGCTTCTGTTGACGGGAGTTTAATTAAAACCTGCTGTAATCTTTTAAACATTTCTTGCCAAAGCAGCTCCAATCAACCAATAAGCTGTATGGAGTTTCGAAGTCAGTTTTCATCCGTGGCGTCTGTTCTCAGAAAAGCGATGAGATGACAGGCCTCGGTTTGGGAATCCCATTCATTCGCTTTCGCCACTACATAGAAAATTGTGTCTTATATACTTCCAGGAGGTCTTCCCATCATACGTGGACAACTTCATTGAGGGACGAGCAGGCATGGGTAAAAATTTAAAACCATCCGTATCCTGACGTCGTTACGTATTTCTTCAAGGTATCAACTTCTTTGGCGACTGCAGAAACCCTGTCATTCATTTTTTGTTCGATTAGTTGTTGGACGGCAAAAACTCTTCCTTCGATTTGTTCTTTTACAGAAGAAACTCTGTAATCGATTAGTTGTTCCAAGGCTCAAACACGCTCTTCTATTTGTTCTCTGACAGAAGGAACTTTTTCTTCAATTTGTCCAACTTTATTTTCAACTCCATCTATTCTGCCTTCCATAGCGTTAAATTTGTTTTCTATTATGCGGGTAATTTCTTACTGCATTTCCTCTTGACCTGCTTTCCTTTCTTTTTTCGCAGCCTTCCTTTCTTCTTTAATAAATTTTTGACCAGCTTCCATCTTTCTTTGAACGGCTTTATCTCTCCTTTAACTGATTCTTGACGCGCTTCCATCTTTTCTTGTCCCGCTTTCATTTCTACTTTAAGAGATTTCATGTCTCGTTGACCCAAACAGTATAAGTCATAATTGGTCGAATAACTGATACATACAGTCTCTTTTATGTAGAGAGATAGCGTTTCGTTTTTGAGCAAAAAGGAAGAGAATGAAGACAACTCCGCATGTTTTTCCACTGATCCTACTCATATGGTCCGTCCAGTTAAAGTTCTTATTTAGGATGACCCCGAAATAGATGGCTTAAATCCTAGGTACGCGTGCACCGAACAGTTTGACCACCGTGTTGATGTTGTTTTTTAGTCCGAAGTTTCCTAATGAGCAGGATCTTAGATGTTTCAGGCTGGATGCAGGTCTTCCATCTGCTACACCAATCCTCAGTTTCTGGGATTTTCCTCTGTATTTCGAAAAGGGCATGGTTCAAATTTCTGGACTTGACAACTAAAGTTGGGTCGTCGGCGTAGCAGACGAGAAGAGTATTCACATCATTCCTGAAGCTCGGGAAGTTGTTCGTATTGATGATACATATTAGCGAGCGTAAAACTGAGCCTTACTGAGTACCTGCCGAGATATTCTTCGCAGTAGAGATTGCATTCACTGTTAACTGAATGTTCGATTCTTCAAGAAGGAGCTGCTCGTAAGAATCATTTCCTAGGAGGAAATTTAGATGTATTAGCTTGAAAATGAGTCCTGAATGCCAAACGCGGTCGAAAGCTTTTGCCACGTCTAGCATCAGGATTGTGACACTCATCTAGTTATGCATAGCAGCTCCTATAAATTCAGGTAAACGAACTAGCTGGGCAGTGGTTGAAAGACTCTTTCTAAATCCGTGTTGATGATCAGATAAGAAATCGAGGTTTTTCTGCAGTCTGTGATAAATTAATTTCTCCAGGATTTTACTGATAGAGGACAACAGTCTAATTGGCCTGTAGTTGGCTGGAATATCCCGTGGTTTTCCAGGTTTCGGAATCATTAGAATGCATGCTTTTTTCCATTTAAGCGTCAATTAGTTGTGTAAACAGACATTAAATATGCTTGTTAGTTTACAAACAGTCCTGTGGGCATATTATTTAGCATTTGATTGTTAATTTCATCCTTGCCTGGGGCCTTTTCAGAGTTTTGATAATGCTCTGTATTTTATTTGGTGTAGTCAGCTTATTACTTTTCAGAGCTACTATTTCTCTTTTCTTATTATTTTGTGTATGTCACAAAAATAATATATTTTGATTGTTATTAAAATACATCCATTTTTTTGACGAGGTGTACTCAGCGTTACGAAAATTATAGAAAGAGTACAGATATGTAAAAAGTTTGGGAAACACTGTTGTAGACCAAGGCAGATTTTAGGTCCGCATCTGAAGTTCTACATCATTGACTGCATCGACGAAATGCATCAGGGCCATATTTTCGCGGACATCAGGTGGACAGTCCGAATATACTTAATGAGCCAACCTATCAGTGTCCGTTACTAAATATGCTTGTTAAGATTCTCCCAGCATATTTAGTAACGTTACTAGTTCTTGATGGCTTTCCTTGATTTTCTGCTGGCGAGTTTTCAACTGTAGGCGGCTGCAGTCTTTTATGCATTTCCCCACGAATCTCAGTTCCAGCGCATTTGAGATGGCGTTGAAGTTTGAAATCTGGTCTTCTGATCGGATTCCTAAGATGTCTGTAGCATCGCCAACTGCAGTGGTGCAACCAACTATGAGGCCTTGATGTGGGAGTCCCAATTGCTAGTTTCCGCCATGATCAAAAACTGGGTCTTAGATTCTCTTTATGATGATTTTCCATTGTATGTGCTTGGTTTGATTACCATGTGAGAAGAGACTGGGAGAACCTTAAAATCTTCAGGTTCATTCTTGGGCTCAGTCCGGTTTTCTTTCAAAACATCTACTTCTTTCTCATTTTTTCTTTAAATCTCTTTTACAACTTCTATTTTGGCTCCAGTGTCCTCTGTGAGCTGCACAATGTTGCTTTTAATCTTGTTTTGCTCCACTTCCATCAGTTGGAGTTTCTCTTGCAGCTTTTCTTGTACGGCTTTTATTTCTTGACGTCTGAGATTTTTTATTTTTCCGGCAACTTTCGCTCCTTTAGATTTTCATGTTACTTTATACAAAAGAAATACAGCAATTTTACATATAATTTCATTAAAATTACCTATCTATGTGCAGCATTCGTAAAAATAATTTTAATAAATCTGAATAGAATATGATAAATAATGTGAGTATTAATGTAGTAAATATTACATGTCTTGCCTAGTGTGATAAAGCATCAAAATATGAGTAATTCAAGAAAACTGTATGATTATCATTAGTATGGAATTTTAACTAATTTTACAATTTATGGGTGATTATATAGGTTCGTAATGGATTGAATGCACACAGTACAGCTCTTCACAGTATCACAGAGCATAATCAGTAGTTAAACTTGAAACTACTAGTAACGTTAAAGACAACAGAATGCAAAATGCATCTAAAAGGTGAAGCTCTCCAAAATCGATATAACTATAACAACTAGTGAAGGCAGTTTCTCTCTCTGGCCTATTGAGACATAGTTTTACCCGGCTGCCGAGATATTTCTAATAACTTCTGCTTCTTACTGGAAAGCATAAGATGGCCAGATACGGTTACAGCTAATAGAGTGACCAGTTACATTTATTCATTTACTATACCTATTACGCAGATAATAGGGACGGGACCAAATTGTCGCCAAGTCTGGCAACTTTCGGTTATTTCTCGCCAAATTTGACCACAAAAATTACTCACCAAAACCATTGCCAGCTTGGCGATATCTCGCCAAATTAGCGAGATAGTCATTTATTCGATGTTAAATAGACTTGACCCTTTTTATTTTTCGAGCAGAATATCCTCCTTCTAGATTTTCATATTAAATTGCACAGAAATACAATTTCACTAAAATTATTTCTATGTATAAAATTCAAAGCATTGCCCCCTTCCCAAGGACTGCACATCCTGAGGAATCCCTGGACAGGAAGCCATACTACTTACAACTACGGAAAATTAATGCAATACCAAAACAATGTTTTCAATAAATAAAAAATCAAATACTAATAAATAAAATGTAAATAAATTTATGACAATTGGAAGTAAAAAGGATCATACCATAATAAATGAACATTTCTTGAGTCTGATGAATGCCACATTATTTATTTAATAATTAGTCTAACCTATTTCAGAATAACGGGTATAACATTTCATGGTTATATGGATGAAAACATGCAGAGCAGACCTATCTCTTGTATTTTTTGAAAATATATTATCCCAAAATGTCTATCGAGACATTGGCAGCTGATGTCATAATGTGGTTTCAGAGGTTGCTTGTGAATGTTTCGTAACGATCTTTTAAACAAAGACTAGCTTTTCATACCTCTTCCCTCTCCATGGTGAAATCCAGCAGCCAAATGGTAAAGTCACTGAACACAGGTGGTTTGGTTTACGTGAAGGGGCTGGCTGCATTTTATCGGTTTTTCCCAGCGAGCCAGTTTCTCTTCGAATATCCTCTACGTATCCACGAAGGCATCCTTATTTTCTCTTAGGAAGATAGTTTGCATGGCCATAATCATACAAATCAAACCAACCTTTTACATAGTTTAAACTTGGAATTAAATATATTATAAAAATTTTTGAATTTCTTTTCAAATTACAAAAACTTTCATAGAATCTTTATAAAATGGTATTCTAGAGGAACTTGATGTTTTCAGATTATATTAAAACAAATTTTCAATTCTTATTGTTCTGGAATATAGACAAGCAAAAGCGAAGATTTTATTCACAAGTGTTGAATCATTTTTGAATGAAACCTTTTGCCTACAATTTGATACAATTCTTTTCTGGCTCCTGGAAAAGGTCGACATCCACTTTTTTCAAAATAATAATAATAATAATAATAATAATAATCAGAGATCTTAATTAAAAATTCTTCAAATGCTAATTTTCGCCCTCATTTTTCTTAGTAGTAACAGTGAGTTTCCGAGTGGTATCAGCAACAATGCACGCAGCCATTGTTGCTGATATAATTAAAGAGAATTATGGATTTGATGCAATTTCATCAAAAAACATTAAAAAAATTCTTTCAAATTTTGAAAAAATTGCTTCGAAGTGCACTGTCTCCCTCTTGTCTAGATGCCCCTATGTACCAAATGTCGTAGCCGTGGGTCTATTAGCTTAGCACGAACGAAAGACACACACACAAAGAGACTCTTCCTGTAGAGATCTGTAGAGATTTTGTGCAAAAATTCTTCAGTATATATGCGTACAGCCAATTTAAAAGAAGAGAACTTGATGAATGTTTTACTGATAAAGTGAATTCAAGGAATCTTCTCTCATGTATTGTAGAATAATGTATCAAAATATCATAGAAAGAAATCACAATATGCTTGTGGTTCATAATCACAATATGCTTCAATTTTTTTTCTAAAGTAAGCTAGCAAATTTCACGGGGATAAGGGGGACACCCTTGACCTATTAAAATAAAATATCACGTCATTGCTTCTCAAGTCACACATGAGCAAAATATCCTACAGCATTACATTTCTATTCCCAACATTGTACTTTTCTCAACTTCTCTTCCCTCCCTTTTCTGTTTGTTTATTGCAGTGCAGTTGAAATTTTAGCACAATCTGAAAATCTGCTGATTTCTACCTGTAAGCAGTTGTGATAATACACAAGAACCAAAGAATAAGAATTTATAACAGTACATACAAGTATGGTTAGACAGAAAATATACGAATGAAACTTTATATTTTTTTTAATATGAAATACTTTCACTCTTTTTACAGTAAAGAATCAAATATTCTGGACAAATACATAATCATTGTTAAGATTCTTTAGAAACTATATTTTAGCAACCATTTATAATTTCTCTTATTTTCATTTACAATCAAGGATACATTTAAAAAAAATTTTATCCACAATATTATGAATATAATACACAAAGAAGTAATAGGAAGCAAACATTCTTACGTTACCGAGAGAACAAAACTTGCGAATGACATTCTGAATTTCAGTTTTGACACAGATCATCCTTCTTTCTTTCTTTCTTTCTTTTTTTTTTTTTTTCAGAGGATAAACTACTGAAAGTCAGAATATCATTCAACATGCACACAACTGTAGTTCATATATTAATACTTTCATTAATCCATTATGCTAATTTAATATATTATTTAATTCAGATGAGTTAATACTTGAAATAATAAGAGATAACACTTTAAACAGTAAAATATGGTAATACAGAAACATAACACACCATGGCAAATTTAGAAAATGAATTTTTTATGAGACTTCAAGATGTAGAAAGTTATTCAATAAAATTAAACAGACTAAATGTATGTATATGATAAATAATTTTCAACTTAAAGCATTATAATAAAATCTGAATGATTTCTTTTTTACAAAACATTGGTATAGAAAAAGCAGTAATATTCTCTTACATACAATAATTTCCTAATTTCATGTTTTCATCAAACAGATTTATATGACAGTAGCAATTTTACAGATCACAGCTAATTTTCAAGACCATAAAATACGCAGGAATTCAGATCATTTTTGCAATATAAAATAACCTGAAATTGAAATTATAATTGAGACATTTTTTAGTTTGAAAAATTGATGAATTAAAAAAATTGCAAACAATGATAACAGAATATTATCATAAAGTCACTCACATTTTTTTATTAACATAAAACTGAGAAATACTAAAATAGAAGACTTTTAATATTGCATAAATATTCATTTTATGTACAAATATAATATATAATAATGTAAAACACAAAATCTGCTTTTAAAATAAGATTTTAAAACTTCTTTCAACATTTTTTACATTGCGAATCAAAATTCTAATAAGCACACTTATAAACATTTATTTCACAAATATGTGAGCAGCATGTGTTGCTTTAAATATTCTCTACAGAATACATAAGGCTAGCCATAAATATATGGCAAATAGGATATACAGGCTCTTAAAATCACAGAAAAGCATACAAAAAGACTCAAATGTAACTTTAACAAATTAATATTTTGTAACAATTTTGCAAATGTTACAACTTAATGCAATAACTTTGCGATTTTATATTATAAACAACAAACCATAGTTATCACCAGCTTTTCTTGAACAGCGTCATGGAAAGCATATAATGAATCACATATGATTATTTCTGATGAACTTTAAGCAAAATAAGAGTAAAAGATACAGTTATGCAACACAGTTTTCCTTCACCAACCACAAGCATATTTTAAGTTCCGTTCACGAACATTGGGAGCCTTGTAAAGATAAGGCCATGTAAAAAGAGAATTAGTTCCAAAATAACAAGAAGCAAATTAAATAGTAATAATATATTTTACACATAAAAAAATCAAGTAAATAAAGCATTCCATTATGTTCTGAGATGAACTGATAACATTTAATGGAGTTATACGGTAATTTGTCTTTCAGCAAAATGTCATAATTACCATATTACTTAGCTATTTTCACCCCCCGGTTCTGAAATTAAAAAATTCCTAAATTTCAAAGTGAATTTGTCCATGTAGTGATTGTTTTCATTTTACAAACTGATCTGCTCATGGACTTCGGGTGCACAGACTTGGGCGCATGGGCTCTGACTGATGGTGCAATACTAGAGAAAAGCTTCAAGATAAAAGGGACATCTAATGCTTTTGATGGCTCTGAAGATCATGGCATGTGGGAAGACAAGCTGAACAGTGACAAAGATCATGGTAATGGTGATAATTTGCAAGCTGTAACACAGCAGGTCTCAAATTGGGAGGATTTCATAGTTTCAGGGGAAATGAAGTCAGCTTTTTTATTCATCTGCTAAGTATTTAATTTTAATTTATGAATGTAAAAAACTACTTGTATTCAAGTTTTGGTATTTATCAAAATTTTCTACATTTTTCTTATTTAATTTATAAAACACATTAAAATAATCTAAATTTAAATAAATGTATTTTTTTTTTTTAGTTTTGAAAAGGAGAAGGGGATGGTAGTCTAGCAGCAGTGAAAGGGATACATGGGACAAAAAAGATTGAGAACCACTGCTGTAACAGATGGGACATACAATAGTTCCAGCAGCCTTAAATGTTTTTGGAACTAGGGAGTAGCAGTGAACAACAATAAAAGCAAGCAAGATTCAAATCCCTGTATGTTGTTGCTACTTACCTGATATCTAATATCTTCATTTCAGTAGCATTTATTTCATTAATTTTATTAATTAGTTAAAAAAATAAAATTAGTTAAAAAAAAGGTGAAAAAATATGCAAGTATGGCATTTAACAAAAACACAGGAGTAACAAATTATATCCACACATTATAACATCAGAGCTAAATTATAATTTTCTTCCATTTTCAGATTCAAAACAAATATTGTATCTATTGTATATAACAGGAATAACTATATGCCTAGTATTTCAAAGTTACAATTGGAACATGAAGAAATAAATCTTGAACAATAAATCCATATTTTTTTTTAGATCATTGGCAAGGGAAAAGGAAGGATATCATACAAATTACAAACAATGAAGTATCAATCCAAGACCAAAAACAAAGAGTACACTCTGGTATTAAAAATAATCTTTGATTTGGCATCAATATAAACACAGTTTAATCCATTTCACATTTTTCTTCTCTAAGACTGACAGAATTAATACACAGAAATGACAACAGTACACATAAAAATAGCATGCTACATATGAAAAATGCTATTTGTCTCTGAAATAACCTGCAGATTGCTCTATATTATTTTGGAAAACATTATTGAAAATTATATGACAAAGACTATAAATACAGAATTAAAAATGTATTTCAAAAAGAAATTCTAAATTGTATTTGATTAACTAATGGTTGTCAAGGGACTACTGCGTATCATAAGGCATTTCATAATAGTCAGGCGCTTTTATCTTACATACAAAGAATTTTAATTTAAAAACTTACTATTTTTAAATATTTGTCTAATACTAATGAAAAAAGGAAGAGTTTATGTGAGTACAAAGTCATGCAAGATATGGAAGAAATACTTTCTTTATTTCAATTATATTTTCAATAATATATAAAATCATTACAAAAGAATACACTTTCAATTGTACATTTGTAGCAGTAATAATCTGATTGAAAATTTTAAAGTTCATAATCTATAGAATATCTATATTAGATTATGAACTGTAACACACTATTGTAACTCAGTTCTGCCCCATTTTCAATGACTAAAAGTTGATTTTAACAGATAAAAGACTATATGGCAGGGCTGTGATTGTGACCTGCTTCTTTTTTGAATGTATATTCTTTTCCATATCCTAATTTCTATGAAAATACAGATGAAGCTTGATTCTAGACTATTTCAACAGTATCACAAGAATATATTAGGACATCTAGACCAGTCTTGAATTTCTTTACATTTCCAATATTCTTCAGTGTATTTATGAACAGGATTTCCTGTAATAGGATCTGTTTCTTTCTTGAACCAGGCTGGTTCATAGCCTTCATATGGCCGTCCTATAAAAAATAAGAAAAAAATACAGCATTATTTATCTTCAGTTACTATTATGCAAATTTAGTAAACTTATATTTCTCTATCCATAAATCAAATAGAATGGAACTTCGGATCATTAATGCCTAACTTCATGAAAAATTTATCAGAACAAAAAATGCCTCGGATGACAAACAATGTCTCAATTCCAAACACTTGAGTCACTAACATATGATTTTCAAAGGTGGCCTTCACGAAACATTTTATGCTTAACTCTCATTAACAAAGCATGGCAGCATATGACTTACAGTGCCAAGACTTCAGCCTGGTGGAAATTATAGACAGACTGGGTTCAGGCAGAGATGCTGTGCCCTTTTTTGTTATCTATGATACTGTGTCTTTAGCAAAACCATGGGCTAGGAAGTTAACAATAAAGCTGCAAAGTTACCGACAACCATAAATACGAACTCAACAAGAAAGAATTATGACTTTAGAAGCATCAATGAGGGGAAAAAAAAGGAAGGGAAAAAACAAAAATCATCCCAGTTCTTTGATCTGCAACACGGGATAAGATGTAAAGTTCTTACTCAATGATATCACTCTGATAAAGCAATAGCAAGTTAGAGCAAAAGTTTTTTTAATGACATTGCCATGTTTCACTTTAGAAACATTTAAAAACGTAGGTACAAGAAAAATCACACTGCATAAATTTGGAACGAAACAGAAGCCCAGCAAGTCTCATGCAGAGTTGAGTGATATTTAGAGACAAAGAAAAGATAAAAGATGCTACTATCTAAAGACAGCTACCTGATGCTTTTATGTAAGGAAATCGAAACAAAACAACTACATTATTTCCACTTGATGTCATTTACTTTTTATAGTCTCTCCTTTGTGTAGGTACAGTAAAATTAAACTGTATATACAGTGGTGGTCAAAATTGTGGACACTTTTGGAAATTTTTATGTTTTTGAACTTTGTATGCTTATAGAAAACATTACGTTCACAAAATGCAAACTTGTATATATCATTTTAAAGAGAATTTATTACTGAATTCAATACAAAACACAAAATTCAATTATTTGCAATAAAAAAAAGTTAAACGATAATAGTTATCGATATACATTAGATAGTGATGATTGCAGTGAGTTATCAGTACTTAGTAGGGTACCCTTTATTTTTTATTACAGCTTCACATCGATGTTTCATTGAGCTGACAAGAGTTTTAAGCTCTTCTTTCGTTATTACATGATGCCAGGAAACAATTATAGCCTTAATTAGTTCCCTTTTATTTGATTAGCGCCTCATTCGGACAAGAGTTTTCAAACGGTGCCACAAATTTCGACAGGATTGAGGTCAGGACTGTTTCCTGGCCATGCCAACAATTTAATGCTCTTTGTACGAAACCACTCTTGTGATATTTTGGCCGTGTGGCAAGGAGCAGAATCCTGCTGAAAAATAAACGAAGCATTGCTGGGAAAGAGATCTCTGATGCAAGGTAGAAGTTTTGGTTCTAGAATAGTGTCAATGTATTTTCTGGCATTTAGTGTCCCATCGATGACATGAAGGCAACCAATACCATCTGCTGACATGCATGACCAAATGATAACATTAACTGGGTTCTTCACAGTTGCTTGAATGCAGTCAGGATGTAACTTTTCTCCTATTCTATGTCTTACATATTTTCGCCCATCACTACCAATTAACAATATCTTAGTTTTATCACTCCATATAACTTGTGACCACTGATCATCTGTCCAATTAATGTGTTCCTTTGCCCACTGTAGTCTTTTTTTTCGTGTTTTTTATTTATAAATAAGTACATATAACTTTTTTTGTATTGCAAATAATTGAATTTTGTGTTCTGTATTGAATTCAGTAATAAATTCTCTTTAAAATGATATATACAAGTTTGCATTTTGCGAAACGTAGCATTTTCTATAAGCATACAAAGTTCAAAAACATAAAAATTTTCAAAAGTGTCCACAATTTTGGCCACCACTGTATATGTCTGCGATTCCCACTGGTTTTATCTTATGAACTTGTGCAGTTTAAAATAGCAATCAATTGCTTTCCAGAATCAAATTAATTCAGTTCACGTTCATTCCTACAGGAAAAATTGCTCCGATTCATGAACATTTTTGACAAATGGTCTTCAGGAATAACTCAAGTTCATGAACCAAGGTTTCACTGTATTATAGAGATCACAAATTACAACACAGGTTACAGTGGGTGATGTTTTAGCTGAGAAATGCTTGTAAATGCACGGTAAGGGTTAATGAAAGGCAATAACTCGCTTTAATATGCAGAGATAATTTTTAAAGGTAGGCAGTTAGTTATAAGTAATTAAATTAGGTATTAGATAACCTTAATCATTGCGGATTTACATGAGCACTATTAAATTTTATTTGTTTTTTAACAATATTTGTTAAAAAAAGCCTTATAAAAATCACAAACTAATAAAATTTCTTAGTTTAAAATACATGTAATTTATGACATTGATTCTTAAACGATATTAGGATAATTACACATTAAAAGCTGCAAAACATTTATGTTTTGTAGCAACAACAACAAAATATTCATGCGTCTTTTTAATTTGAAGCCTTTCCAGACATTTTGGCTAATTTATATCAATTTCCCTCTCTTTAAGCATCTTTTCTAACAGTTAGAAATTTGTCTCAATACGCAAGAAAATGTTTTGGGTAGTTTCTGCATGTTTTATCTCCTAACCTATCAACCTCTCCAAAATGTACCTATGAGGGTTTACTTGATCTGGTAATAGTTAAATAATTCACCCCCTACCCTGACATATGTAAAGCAAATTATTGCTATGTCTGAAAGTAACTACAAAGTCAGACAAAGATTTAAATAAGCTTCCTATTTAAACATAGAAACCCTACATAAAGGATGTTCTTACGGTAGAAGAACATAAAGGTATGTTCTTATGCTAACAAAATCAATTACAGCTTGTAGTGATGTAATTAAGCAACAAGAATCAAATTCAAACTAAAAATAAACTAGTGATCAAAGACTATACAATTTCATTTTAAGCTGGCCCAGTAACTCTATTGTAATAACAAATTCAAATGTCAGCAGCGGTAATGTAAAGACGAATAATTGCAAATTATCAGAGCTGGCATGAAATAATGCAAAGAGCAAGTGGAGGTCAGAAACACACTCTTGTCATAAAATCCAAAAATCTCAGTTTACAAACTGTCTAAGTGATTTGCATTCTGGTGAGAAAATATAAAAGGGAAATTATAGTAAAGGCTGGAATTGTAAACAACTAGGTAATTTACGTGATAATATCTGTAGTTTCTTTCTTCCACGTTTCGTTTTCATTTTAGAATTTTTGGATTTAATTAAAGATTTGTTATTCTGAAATCACTAAATGCATTTAGAATGTATAGAGAAAGCTGCTAATTTTAGTTCTTTAGGCATATAAGTACAATCATACTTCTCCTCGCCTCATAAACTACTTCTTATCTCTAATATTCAGAAGAATTATGAAATATATATGGTAAGGTCCAGTTACAGAGCTGATGTGGTAGAATTTTTAGAATTTAGTGACACATTGTGAATTGTGGGTCTATAAATCTTGCCTTCAAATCTTTCTAAATTTTCCAAGCTGCAATGTCCAAAATTCTAACAGAAAAATTACCTCTACCAATTCGGTAACAGCAAAAAGCCAGAAATATTTTGAAAAAAAAAAAAAAAAAAAAAAAAAAAATCAGAGGGGGGAAAAAGTGTAAAATTAATTTTATAGAGAAAACTGATGCATATTTTGAGACAATTACATAGGAAAACTCTTACCATGAAAAAATTAAAAAGACATTTTTTATTAATTACATAGCTATTTTGCTTTTTGCTAAGAAATGTTTTGTAAATTGTGCTTATAGTATTATACCTTCCTTGTCTTTCAGATTCAAAATCAATGTTACAATGTTCTAAAAAAATCGTCAAAAATTTTCCCAGATCTCGGAATAAAAAATTCTCTATAGACTGATCTTAAAATCGTCAAAATGTTGATAAGTCGCCAAAAAGAGCCATTTAATAAAAAAATTCACACCCCCAAAAGCGAAAAGTTCTTTAAGAGCTCTTCATTAGGAAAAAATTAAATAATTTCAAAATGCTTATGTTTCACTTCTTGATGAGAAACTCTATCCCAACATTTATATTAGAAATAGGAACAAATTATAACCCATGGACGCATTCACCCATTCAAAAAATAACAATATTTATCAGCGAATCGGCAAAAATATTCCTCTGAAATGCTAATTCACACTCAAAAAATGGCAGACATAAAAACAAACAGAAATTTCAGATGATTAAAATTAAGGACCTTCTGCCGATTTTGGCGGAAATTACGGACTTTTAAGGACCAAAAATTGAGCTGTTATATAGTTACATATATTCAATGAATTGCGTATGTTCATATATATATATTTAATGAATTGTGTTCATATATATATATATTCAAATGAACATGTTCATATGAACACAATTCATTGAATCAACATCATTTGCAATAAGTACAATATTCACAATGTACAAAGTGAGTACAATATTCATTTGCAAACATAAAAACCAAAGCCAATTAAATTTCAACACAATACTGGGATAAAAAAAATACATCCTTACCTTCAGCTGCTGCTTTTTCTGCTTCTTCTTCTCTTTTTCTTCTAACTGCTCGCTGTTTTTCTTCTAACTGCACTTTGATTTGATTTGCCTCATCCCAAGCTCCATCTTCCATCAATCTTTGATCAGGTCTCAATCGACTATCCGTCGGGGCAACTCCTTCTTCTGACTCATTTAGTTGACAGGCCAGAATAGTGAAGTTATACATTTTTTCATATTCTGGCCTAAAAACATAACTTATCATTTATATTACATTTTAATTCACAAGAAATAGATGACAACAAATAATCGATAATCATTATTAATTATGTCACAAATTATAGCTACATATGCAAATATAGTTAAGAGATCGGCAGTAGATTTTCCCTCTTATGATATATAATATCAAATAAAAGATGATACATTCCATTTCTGATTGATGATCTACCAATTAAAGAAATACTGAATTAAAAAAATATACAATCAACATCAGTTTAATTATTTTTGCCTTCGTTCACAAACATCCTGGATAAAATATTGGAAGAAGTATGAACTCAGTTACATCACCATGTATTGATTCCTAATGACATATAGGGACTGGTGCAACATGGAACTTGATAAAATTAACAGTGATTTTTCACCCATTCAATCATCAAATCTGCAGATGACTGTGGGACATACAACACGTTTCTTGTTAGCAAATTCCAAATTATCCTAATTTGTCAGATAAACTGGATGTCTGATCGAATTACGAGACATCAACTTTGCTCTGTGAACTGGTCCCAAACACATTTAGCACACATTAGAACAACTGCAATCTCAGAAAATGGATTTGGTGATACTGTCTTCTCCATGCAGATAAATCACAAAACAGACACGGATCCCTGTCCTAGAAGAATGTGCAGATAACTCATTCTTCTATGACAGGGATGTAACATACAGCCTTTACTAAAATGTAGACCTGCAGATTTAAATCTTCAAAAAGTCCCTCTTCCACCCACCCCCCCAAGATGCACTGATCTTTGAAAATCCAGATTATAGACTTATCCCAGGCTCATCTGGCCACACAACATGTTGCCAGTCAAGCACACTTCAGTATTGATATGCTTTATTCCAATGGAATCTCTTCTGCATTTGGGCAGCTGTGATCCATTGATGTTGATGGGTTACAGGACTGAATAATACCACGAGATGCACGAGCTCTTCGCACCGGGCGCATCGAGAAATAGACGAATCTCGTTTAACAATAAACTATGACAAAAACTGGTTCCTTCTTAGGAACTGATTAGAAGTAGCAATGCACTTCACATGCTGATGATCTCTTAATGATGATGTTATCTTTTGCCTAGCACTGTCTCTTCAGGAATTGTCTGTTCATAGCAAATGCCATTGCTTATAAACTGTAATCAGCAGTAGATGTTGTTAGACTTAAGAATCCCCAATCTTTACAAATTTTTCCAAAAGTACCTTTTCCAATAAGAAATAAAGGAAAAATAATAAAGCCATACTTATAAAAAAATTATATTTCTAATATTATAACACTGTTTAATCCTAAAATACAAATGCAGCGGGTGTAAGGTCCTGTACATAAACAAAGTACTACTGTACAGAAATATTTTCCTACTATCCAGAATAGAAAAACATTTTTAATGTACTGGAACAGCTCCAATTTTTGTTTGGTAATCGATTTCACTCCTTCGTAACATCAGCTGATTTAATGGTGTTTTTGTTTTCACAATCATAGACACCATCATACTCAGCATACAGTATGCAATAACGAAGTCTGGGATATGTATGTCATTTTCATACTTTTCACAATCTCTTTTTCTATCTCCACAGTGATTATAACAACTTTCTTCAATGCTTGACTCTTCTCATTAATGTTCCTAAAACTCATTGCTAACGAATTTGCAAAACATTTATGTGAAAAAAGTAATATCACACACACATAAATTTATAGCATTTTTTTTAATATATATACCAGCAGGAGACACATTGATGCTCATGGGCAATCAAAACTCTATCTTGAAAGAGATGACCAAGTGAAGTGCATGCACTTGTGACTCATCATATTAGAGCTGTATTCTAAACAGAAAATGGCTACCAAACGAAACTTTGCACGTCCAAGCAGGACATATGCCAAGTTGAACATATTTCAATGCAGACACATACTGGAGTATCACTCACTGTACCTACAAATGAAGAAAAATTTCTAAATCTTAACTTACCCTGGAAATTGCCGACGCCATATGGTTTTAGGAGAAGAAGTTTCCAGGAGAGGTTTTCCTTTCACTGACCCATGACTATTTAAAACACGAGCTGCTTCCATCTTGTGATCCCATGTGCCTTGGAGAACAAACTTAGCATTCCCTTCGTGGTCTGTGACAACGCCTGTAACCTGACAAATTTGTGCAGAACATTTAAGATAACTGAATAAACTACAATAGCTAAGCGAAACACAGGTCAACATTCAGAAATTCTTATCATTAAACCTATTAATTTTATAGTTCTGATGCAGTACAGCATCATTTATACTCACTTATGGAAAGAAATACTTAATTTATTTTTACTATAAACCTTTGAATGGTATCTTATATTAACAGTCTAACATTTAAGTTACAGAAATATCAGAGTTTTATTCTACATTTAAGGAAATACAAGCTGCTAATATATATTTCTTGATATAACTCCTTTTCAAATTATAAATGCAGATTTCAATAGGGCATTAAAGAATGCCATTTGGAACTTATTACACCTTTCTTTTATTTCTCAGAAAAAGATAATACTAAATAATTATAACAATAATTTTATTTGCCATTATAAGAACACATTCCAAAATATTAGCTTGTCTATTAAATTTTCAGCTACCACAATTTCTTCAATATACAAATAAGTAAATAAAAAAATAAATTCAACAATTGGGCACTGGTCAATACAGTGCATACTAGCCAGAATTTATGTTCAAATCTTTGAAGAAGATTTATATCACAATGTAAATTAATTGGTTTCATTTTTAGATTTCCTGGAGAGTTACTCACATTTCCTTTTTGGTAATGAAAATAAAGTAAAATTAAACTGCAAATCATTAAAATCTCAAACTTTAAATTTTTGTCATAATATTAATTAATTTACGAGAAATATATTTACATGAATGATAAGTAAAATTGCCTTCAGTTGCCAATTTGATTTAACCATCCCACCACTGAGAACATCACCCACGGATCAGCAGAAGAAAACACATAAATAATGAAGACTTGCATAAGAATCAGACCTACACACTTTTAGCCCGGCAGCTACACTCCATTGTCTGCGTTGTATTTAGCACCTAAAATAACCTACTACATTTGTTCATCATTTGGTACAACACAGTTATCAAAAACAAAATATTTCATAAACTAATTTTAAAGCAGGCTCACCACACAATTCTAAGCAGTCTGAAAGCAACAATCAACTTTCTTAAATTAGCTTATTTTTTCCATCTTTTGATGCCTCGTTAAGTAAAGTATATTTGAATTTACAATACACTTTGCATCTCTGAGCATATGAAACACTTTTACAACTTCTAATTTTGCTCAAATCAAGACAGACAGATCATTTTTCATTAGAAATCCATCATTTTCCATTAGAAAAATGTAGCAAGATCTGGTTTGAAATCAAAACTGATAATGTATCGTGTGAGCTACAATTAGAGTAAAATAAAAGAACTGCACAGTCAGTAAGTACAGACTATGGCAGTAACTGCAGTGAGAGAATTGCAGTCATGAAGTAATCTGCAAATTTTACACATTTTTAAAAATATTTTGTATTTTTGCTGTGAATTTAATGAGGCATAAGTACGAAGAAATAAGAAATAGATAAAAGACGAAAAGTTAGCAACGTCAGCAAGTCAGCAAAGTAGGTCATCTTACTAAGGAAAGATATGATATGAGAACTCAAAGTTCACCAATATGTGAACTGAGAAAAGACTGAAAAAAAATGAATGGCAACACTTCACACTGTATCAGAAATTCTAAACATATGCAACTTAATACCACATAAAATTCAACAGTAAAAAATTGTACAGTTTTACTGTTGAATTTTATGTGGTATAAATGCAAAGAAAGCAATGTTTAGTAATAAAGTTAAACAGACCAAAAAAAGTTGCATCTTGTTAAGATAACTCAGCATTTTGACTGACACTGAATAAATATATATATATATATTTCTAAAAATATGCTGCTTTTAAAAGCTTAAATTTTTTAAAATTAAGCTTAAATTTTTTAAAAGGTTTGTGATCTTTGTATTAAACTTTATGTGGTGTAAATGCAAAGAAAAATATGCTTCATAATAAAATTAAGGCAAAAAAAGCTGTGTTACTATATCTAAAAATACCGTAATTTCTGGAAGAAAGGCCGCATCAGCCTAAACGCATGACATTGTCGTGAATACAATTAAAAAGACAAAAAATCTGTGTTACTACATCTAAAAATACCATAATTTCTGGAAGAAAGGCTACATCAGCATAAATGCTGCACTTGAGAAAAATGGGGGGGGAAATTTAAATTACACAGAAACACCGCAATAGATTAAATTGTGCGTGACATCGTCGTGGGCCGTATAGACGCAAAATCTTGACCTATGTCTTGATATATGACATATCAGTTAAGAAAAATGCATGACATGAAACTATAACTCAAAAATAAATTAAAGATAAAAAATGTTAAAAATATATTTACGTTCACGAATATACTTATATTTACCCACTAAAGAAGTCCACATTTGTCATACTCATACTATATTATAAAAATGTTGCAACAACAACTAGATATTAAATTTGGATGACAAAAGAAAATTTTAAATTTTACTTACAAAGGAATTACAGCAAACTGTATATCAAATGAAGCCATCAAAATCTGATTCTTCACTATCTGAATTAAAAAGATTTAGTAAATCCTGATCTAAGTCCAAATCTTCCAGATCATCACATTCATCCTCTTGGCTTAGAGACTCTTTATCTGAGGATATATTTTCAGCTTCTTTGAACGCTGCTATTATTGACGATGTTTTCACCGATTTCCATGTTCATTTATTCAAATTAATACCTACCCACTTTTTACACTTTACCACACATTTTTTTACACTTTACCACAAATTCCTACCCACTTTGCAATTTCTTTATAAGATGCTCTATGCATTTTGCCGGGTAATCCTTTTGGTATACGTCCAACACTTCCACCGCTTTTGGAATTCAGCTTTGAAGGATTTATTACCTGACAAATCTAACGGTTGTAAGATTTTTGTCAAAACACGAGGAATTATTGCTACGGTCATAGACAGTTTTTGACATCTGGTTTTCACTGAATCAAGTAAATGAGCATGCATGGAATCCATTATCAATAACCCTTTTAGTTGGAAAAACGAACTCTTACGACACTGCTAAACTTTTTGTAGCCACTCATGCATGATTGTTTCGCACATCCATCCATTCTCGTTTGCACAAATAATTACGTCGTTAGGAAAATCTCCCTTCGGAATAGTTTTTTTAAAAATGATCATCAGCTTCAGCTTGTCACCCTCTTGCGGCACAAGCTAACACACAGGCAAATGACGTTTTTTAACGCCCTGTCGTAAGCACAGAAACAGTTTTTGCACCAGTTTCATCAACAGTTCTGTTTGCAGGAGAGTCGAAAACTAACGGCGTTTCATTCATATTTATTATCTGGGATAGAAGAAGTTTTTTTTGTCAATAATATCTGTCTCATATTTTAGAAAAGATGCCTTTTTATCCTGCTAGTCCATTGGTAATTGTTGCCCATCTGTTGTTCTAGTACGCACAGAAATATTTTTTCTTTTCATAAATCTGCTACACCAGCAAGGTCCTCCTATGAAATCATTTATGTTCATTTCTTTTGCCATAAACTTTGCTTGTAAGCGAATTTTTACAGTCAAAATTGCCATTCCCTTTCCTTACTTTACTTACAAAGGAATTACAGCAAACTGTAATTCCTTTGCTCCTTTATCCAGTTTGCAAGGTCATCCTCTAGATTTGGCCACCTTACAGTACCACTTCTTTTGGTTCTTTTCTGTTGTGGCATATTTTAAAGTTCTTTTTCAGTTCTCCAATGTTGGAGTATCTCTCGTCCACTTCAAACTCTCGAGCTGCTGCTCTATTTCCAATTTGTTCTGCACGTGAAATTACATTAAGCTTAAAACCAGCAGTATAGCTTCTATGGCATTTAATGCCATTTTCAAAAACTTCCGCTCTCTTCTTACTTAAAAACTATCCAAACAGTACTTGTAAACCCAAACTGATGGGATCTGTATCTGGCAGAATGCCAAGAAAAATCGATTTGTGCTGAAGGGAAAATACGTCAGAATTCGTTATTGCAAAGGCAGGTGTCCTGCCTTTGAAAAAATTGCTGTGGATTTACAATGGAAAAGGCAGGGGTGGGGAAGAGGATGGGTCCTGGAAGATTCATCGAATGGCAGAGAAGAAGAGATGAGAGAGATTCAGTCTTCAGATGAGAAGCTTCTCTGCCATTGGCAGAGAAAACAAACTGATGAGAATGTCTGATTTGAAAGGGGGAAGAATGTTATTGTTCTGAGATCTCATTTAGGGTGAATAAGGCTTATTATTTTTATGTAGGTCCGTTCATTTTTTGCAGGGAAAGAATGTAAACAAAATAAACGTTCGCAAAAAGCAACTGAGTGGTCTTTTGTGTGGGAAACAGCACCCATCTATGCACAATGACAAGGCCATCCAAACTATGTACAATGACCATCATAGGAAATATTTTATTTTTAGTGCACTAAAACCCATCCAAACTATGTACAATGACCATCATAGGAAATATTTTTTTAGTGCACCTAAACGCCGCATAGGTAGAAACACTGCCCGCTGAAAATTTAAGTTTTAAACACGTAAACGCCGCGGCGTTTCTTCCGGAAATTACGGTGACATGGGGAAAATTCTTAACATCATAAATTTAAAAAGAAAGAAATTTTTATTTCATTACATAGCTATTTTCATTTTGCTATGAACTGTTTTGTAAACTGTGCTTTATAGCATTTATTACCTTATTTATTTTTCAGATTCAATATACTGTATAAGTCATCAAAATGGAAATTAATATTACTTTATAATATGACAGCCAAAGTTAAATAAATAAAATAAAAATAAAAATGTTTTATTTTAATGTCATCCCTTAAATATAATTTCAATATATTACCATTATTTTAGTTAAATTTATCAATGTTATAATGTATAAAAAATTGTCAAAAAATTCCCATACCTTCGAAATAAAATTTTTCTAGAGAAACTGATCTTAAAATCGCCAAAACGTTTAAAAGTCACCAAATTTAAAGCTGTTTATTAAAAGAATTCACATCCCCAAAAGTGAAAAGTTGTTTTAGAGATCTTCATTAGGTGTTGGTGTGTGTTGAGTTATGGCAAAGCACACGAGGGCTATCTGCCTAGCTCTTCATTAGAAAAAAAATTAAATGATTTTGAAATGCTTGTTGTGCTGTTTTACTCCTTGCTCAGAAACTCCAGTATTCCATCCTTTATATTAAAAATAGGAACCAATTATAACTCATGAACCCAAAATATTTGTCAGTGAAAAAATTCGAAAGATAATCATATTTGTCAGTGAATTGTCAAAAATATTCATCCAAAATGATAATTCACACTCAAAAAAGCAGTCATAAAAAAACAAGACAGAAATTTCAGATGATTAAAATTAAGGAATATTCCAAAAAATCTAAAGACTTTTAAGGACCGTACGAACTCTATTACATTTCATGAGAGGATTTCTTTTACTAAGCTGAAAGAAGAAAAATTATACGGTAGAAGACTAAAAAAATCTGCCAATCTTTTGAAATCTGGGCAGCTTCTCCGACAGCAACAGAAAATTCAGTTAATACGATAGAACAGTAAACCCTAGTTGAATGCGTACTTGCAGAATGCAATTTTGCATGTACGCATTATCTTAAATTGTCTCCCTTTAATTTGCCCAGTGCAAGGATTTCAATTATACACAGTACACTGCAGAACGTCGGCTATGCTGAGATAGTCCTCTTTAAATAACTAGTATGAATTATTTTTTTAATTAAAAACACACAAACTTTAGAACTAAAACTAATACAAACAATACTTTTAAAATAACAAAGAATAAAGAATACCAGTACAATATACCAAGTTGAAACCTAAATTAAAATAATCTCTTTCAAGCTGCTTTTTTCTGCAAAAGTCAAACTAACTTCTTTCAGATCTCATATATTACTCAATTTCTGTTCAATGGTCAACATTATTAATCCATTAAAGTTCTTTTTCAGTTCTCCAATGTTGGAGTATCTCTCGTCCACTTCAAACTCTCGAGCTGCTGCTCTATTTCCAATTTGTTCCGCATGTGAAATTACATTAAGCTTAAAACTATCTAACAAGTACTTGTACCCAAACTGATGGGATCTGTATCTGGCAGAATGCCAAGAAAAATCGATTTGTGCGGAAGGGAAAATACGTCAGAATTCGTTATTGCAACCCAGGTGTCCTCCTTTGAATAAAATTGCTGTGGATTTACAATGGAAAAGGCAGGGGTGGGAAGAGGATGGGTCCTGGAAGATTCATCGAATAGCAGAAAAGAGAGACTATTCAAACTGATGAGAATGTTGATTTGAAAGAAGGAAGAATGTTTTTGTTCTGAGATCCCGTTTAGGGTGAATAACTCATGTAGGTCCATTCATGGGAAAGAATGTAAACAAAATAAAGTTCGCAGAAAGCAACTGAGTGGTCTTTTGTATGGGAACAGCACTAATCTATGTACAATGACAAGGTCATCCAAACTATACACAATAACAAGATCATTCAAACTATGCACAATGACATCATAGGAAATATTTTTTTTAGTGCACCTAAGTGCCGCCCCTGCCGAAAATTTAAGTTTTAAACACATAAATGCCATGGCGTTTCTTCCAGAAATTACGGTACTTTTATTTGCAGCTTGCCTACTTTTTATTAAAAATCCCAAATTTGGTTTTTCAGCTAAAAAGCTTGCCTCTCATAAAGCATTTTATAACCACAAAAGTATGTCAGATTTTAAAAAATATAATTAAAGTAATTATAAGTAATAATATATAACTGGAATAATTGCCAATATATTACAGAATTTTTTAGTAACATACCTTTCGAGGAACTTCTCTTGAAAAATAACTGTAAGGAATAAACCTAAGATGGCATTTATCTTCTGTAGTATGATTAACAATTTCCATTTCCCCATGGTGGTCAACCCAAAGTCTTCCAACGATAATGTTGTGCACGAACGTTGTGACTTTTCGCCAAGTATAGTGATTACCGGACTCGGGGAAAAGGAGATGAGCAATACCTAATGGAATAATTTGTAGGTATTTGCCTCTGAATTTACTTGACATTGTAAACTCTTGCCAACACTTCCAGCCTCTTCCTTCACAATGTTGAGCAAGCATAGGTGGATGATGACTGACCTATAAACACAACAAGGCAAAAAAAAATTTACAATCAAATACTAAATAAAAAAATCTTAAATTGTACATATTTAAGCAACTGTAATGAATTTAATATTTTTTTCTATTACTAAATCATTTTAAGACATTAAACACATCTTATGAAGGTTTTCACTTCACAAATAATTTTTCATAATACAATACAACAAATTCATCCATAAATTAAAATGTAAAATTTTGATACTAAATTAATATTTTTAAATATTTAATATTAGAAAAATATACTTGTTCTTAATTATGATATTAAAAATTATACAAGAATTAAAGTTATTTACACAAAGATGTACTGACATATACATATTAAATCCAAAACACCCATTTCCGTTTTTTGTTCGATATACACTGGTTATCATAAATTAAGGAAAAATCACAAAAATCATGATTACTGAAAAAGTTACATGTAGAATTCAATGAAACTTACCCACAATATACAACACATAGTAAGGTATCAAATAACATAAAATGAAATTACCAGACAAATATGGTAGTATAGAAATTAGCACGTGTATAAAATGGACAAATCGAAGGTGTCAGTTTGCTATAGGAAAAGTACCTTCAATATGGAATATGATCACCTCTAGAAACAATACAGAATATACAGCGATGTGTGATGCTTTCAATTATGCGATCTCTCAGTTCCATAGGAAGCGAGAGACATTGCTCTTGCAAAGCAGTTGCAAGCGCGACAAGGGTTAGAGGGGGCCAATTAAGAGCAGCTAGACGTCTCCCTAAAGCATCCCAAACGTGCTCGATAGCATTCAAGTCCGGGGATCGAACTGGGCACTCCATGCACATAATTGTTTCCTGTTGAAGATAATCATCTACGATGCGAACCCTGTGTGGTCTTGCGTTGTCGTCCTGTAACAGGAAAGCATCACCTATTGCCCCGGCATATGGGCGCACATAAACATCAAGGATGTCATCTCTATAAATCTGAACATTCACGGCTCCCCTTGGAAAGACATGGAGGTCTGTGCGTCCACCCAAAGAGATGCAACCCCAAACACAGACACTGCCCCTTCCGTATGCATCTCTTTCACGGATGTTTGACGGATGATAACGGATTCTAGGTTCTCTCCATATTAAATAATGCCTACTATCGCTTTCTAGACTAAACCTGGACTCATCCATAAAGAAAACCGCCCTCCATTGATTAGGCGTCCAGTGGACATGTTGTTGTGCCTACTGAAAACGGTCCTTCCTATGGCGTGACGTAAGCGGCACACAAATGGCTTGTCGCCTCGCATAGAGACCACTTTTGTCAAGCCTTCTACGCACAGTTGACGTTGACACGAACCTTCCCGTGGCTGCAGCAAGAGAGGATCTAAGGAGAGTCGGAGTAGCGGTTCTATTCCTGCGTGCACATAATGTCAAATATCGGTCATCGATGCTTGTCGTAGCAGTTGGCCGTCCCTGGCTGAACCTCCTAGATGCCAAATCTGAGGTTTAAAATTGCCTCCAAAGTCTATGAACCACAGAAGGACTCCCATTTAGCCATCTTGCACTTCTGTTTGACTTTGTCCTGCCTCTAGTCTCTCAATGGCTCTCCATCGCAGTTCTGCGATGCCTGGAGGTCATTGTTACGAATTGACTATCTCAGATTTCTGATGTCACTATCACAGTGAAATATGGGGGCTTGCTCTTAAACATGGACTTTTATGTTGCAGATGACGTATTCCGAAAGCAGCGCCACTAATTTGCATATCGCAGTCTTACTCAGCTACTCTTACTTGGCAACATATTCAAATTTTACACAGTTTGGCTTATTTTTGATAGAGTTATCACTATTTTTCCTTAATTTATGAATACCAGTGCATTATGTTACCGTAAAAGCCCGAAGTCTTATGATTTAAAATAGAAGCAATTTGCTTCTATTTTACCATATTTTGCTTTTTTTTTTTTAAATTTTGCTGAAGGAAAATGAATGATGTAATGCAGAAAAAGTTTTATAACATTTTGTTTGAATCTGTAAAAATTAAGCAGGATAACAGCTTTCATTTAACAAATTAGCAGCTGCGCTGCCAGCCTTCGTCTGGCTTTTAAATGAACTGGGAAAATAGCTGAAGGGAACACCAAACATTAAATTAAAAAACTGCATAGAATTTTAATCTGCAGAACAACTTCATAAAAAAAAGTTATTATGTATAACAAAATTACAATGAAATAAGCAATATCCCATAATACATATATTAATTATCCTAATAAATAAATTAACCAACTTCCCTTTGCAAACTCTTAAGGACTCAAATGGTATAAAGGAGGTTAAGAACTTTTTGTTTGCTAAAAAAAAAAAAAAAAAATCACTCAAAACTTTTCAATATCTTAAAAACAGTGAAATGAGCAATAAATAACATAACAGAATAGTAAAACAAAAAATTCTGAAAAGCAAAGTATAATTACTGATATTTTATCTAATATTTTCAAGAGAAAAAAATTACAATGAATTAAGCTATATCCCTTAATACAAATATTAATTATTCTAATAAAAAATTAACCAACTTTCTATTGAAGGAAAAAAATCATGTAAAACTTTTCAATATCTTTCAAACAGTGAAATAAACAAAAAAATAACATGAAAGCAACTCAAAAAACATAAAATTCTGCGTTTAACATTTTACTCTGCAGAACAACTTTATCAAAAAAAAAAAAAAAAAAAATCTATAAAAATGTATTATATATAAAAATGACAAAGAAATATGCCAATCTCTTAAAAACAGTGACATAAGAAATACGATGAAAAATTGTTGCCAAACCCATATTTCTAAAAGAATGAAACTATTCAAAATGATGCGATTTCATCAAAAATCTATCAACAACACTAAGACAGGAAAATTGTTGCCAAAATCACATTTTTAAAGATGTGAGATATGAGAAGTGTACTCGGAAGCTTTATTTAAAAAAAAAAATTAAAATACAAAATATTATCACTTTTTCAAAATTCTTTTTGTAAAAGCAGTCGCAAGGATAAAAGTTTAACGTGTCCAAAAATCAAAGAAAAATAAACTGTACATTTTTTAAAATAAGCTTTTTTAGAAAAAATCCAGTTGAAAAGGTGTTAAGCTTTCTTTGTTAAATAAATTCGTATTTAATTGATTTATTGAAACACAAAATTTAGTTTAAATTCGTAAAATAGCTAAGTGCCTACGTTTTATTGTGATGTGAAAATACAGTGTGTAGAGTAAAATCTCACTTTTTAAATAATTGCTTGTTGCAATTGTTATTCTACATAAAAAAAGGTAAGTGCAATTACATACTATGTTACACTTAGGTTAGCTTTTTAATTCAGAAAAGCGACAATTTGAGGCTAATTACTCGAAAAATGCTTTTCTACGCGAAACATTTGTTTATTAAATTGAAAATTATTAGCTTTCGAGAAGAAAAGATTGACATATTATGGAATATCACTGAATTTAAAATATACCTATTTGAGATTTGAAGTGGAATAAAAATATACAAGGGGTTCTGAAATTAAAAATTGATCATTTTCTCATTTTTATCTATATGGAAAACTGAAGAAAAATGTTTCGTTATTTCATTACATCTTAAATACATACTTTAAATTTGATTTATTTCATTTAATAAACAAAAGAGTACCACCAGCTCCTTCAATTATTTGGTATTGATCTAATAGTTCATAATTTTTTTCAGTAGTGGTTTAAGATATACTCAGTTTTTCAGAAGAAGTATTTCAAACAATGACTTTCTGAGTGTTTTTAATAAGAAGTGTTTTACGCAATAGTTCTTATAACAGTTACTTTTTTTATTTTACTTCCACTTTTTCCCAGATTTCAGAAGAAAAACTGTCTGGGTATAAGAATTTACTGAAGAAAAGAAAGTGAGAGGAAGATGTAGTAAACCGGAATTTAAAAAATACTCACTTTTTCTAAAACCCAGAGAATACCCAAGCTGACGCTACCGTCACTAGTTGTCCATCAGCATCTCAGTTAATTAACACAATTTTCCTAAAAGGAACCTAATAATCAGAAGGTGTTTTTATCCTGGCATTATTTTCCACTTCAATGCAGCTGGTCTAAACATCTGAAGAAATAATGGAAAAATCTTCTATTTTATTTATCAAATGTCTGTCGTTTGGCCTCTAGGCCATTAGACAACAGGCTCTCCATCTTGCCACATGGCAAGAAAGAGCAGATAGTGCAGGGCACTCATCCAAGCAGTCATATCTTGTTCAGTCATACAAAGAGAATACGTAGGGAGAGTCCACAATGTTAAAAGGAAAACGATAAGCACGGAGGCAATCAGGCTCAGTTAACATTCTAAAAGCTGCAATTGCAGCCGCATGAGGTAAATCAGGAACAAGTCGTGGTCTAGAAAAGAGTACATTCCGAGGTCTGCCATTCGAAAGATGCAAAGCTCTATCATGAAGAAAGATACAGCTTTGCATCTACAAGCTGTATCATGATAAGCTAAAGATACAGCAAAGCTAGAAATCCTAGCTATTTCAAATTTAACTGAATGGAATTGAAAATAAGTAAATATTATCACAAATAATAGTAAAATGTACAATTTCTGCAGTAGATATGCATTTGTCTGTGCCTGATGAACCCAGATTATGGCAAAGTCCATTCATTATTGCCATCCCAAGTGCAAGCCTTAGAAAATGATCTTAGATATTATCAAAACTTGGCTTCTAGTTTTAGTTCCCCAAAAGACAAAAATGAACGTAAATTTTCTAAGATGTACTTTTGCCAAACAACAAAAGAGTTAAAAGGAATTGGTTGCTGTATGCCATTGAAAAAAATTCTGTTTATTGTTTTTGGTGCAAAATTTTTAACAATTTTAGCAACATAAAATTGAGTAGTTCTGGATTTAATGGCTAGAAACACTTCAGTCAGCACTTAAAACTTCACGTAAAATGTAAATACATTTCCAGAACCTACGTCTTTGGTCCGATTTTTTTAGACCGATTACGAAAGGATAAAACTGTAGATTCGGAATTTCAAAATTTATTACAGAAAAAAAAACTAAGCATTGGTATAATGTTTTTGAAAGTGTTACCCATGTAATTCAGTTTTTAGCCAAACAAAACTTCGCCTTTCGTGGTTCCAGTAACAAATTGAAAGAAAGAATGGTAATTTTTTAATGTGTACAGAAATTGTCGCAAAATTTGACCCTATCACGTCTATACATATTAATAAAACTAAAAAAATATGCCTCATTACCTCTGGGATAAAATTGAAAAAATTAGCTTATTAGGGAATAATTTAAACAAATTACTTTAAATAACACCAAACAGGCAAAGTATTTTTCTAGTTTAGTTGATTGTACCTCTGATGCCAACCATCAAGAGCAGATATCAGTTCATATGAGGTATCTTAATTTAGAAAATACAGAATTAGTGTTGAAGAAAGGTTTTTAGTATTTTGGTCCTACAACAGATACGACCGCTGAAGGACTAACAACATTCTTTTTAAAGACTTTAGAGGAAAATAGTTTAGATATTAGTAATTTAAGAGGCCAAGGATACGACAATGGTTCAAACATGAGAAGTAAACATAGCGGTGTGCCCAAAAGAATTTTGGATATCAAGCTAGAGCATTTTTTGTGCCCTGTTGTAATCACAGTTTGAACCTTGTTGAATGACGCTCCGAACAATTTATAAGTTGCAAAATGTTTTGGATTGTTCAAGAGCTTTACAATTTTTTTTCGGCTTCAACTGATCTCTCATCTGTTTTAAAATTTAACACTGAAACCTTTGTCAGATACGAGGTGGTTGATCCGTATGTATGCAATAAGCCTGTTAAAATTTCAATCAATAGAGGCTTTTGATTTCCTCTATGAAACAGCCAAAAATTTTTTTTATAAACAATACAAAAAAATCAGGCCACATCTTTAGGGGAAAAAATTCAAAACGCAATATTCTCCAAACTAAAAATTTTAATATTTCTCAGAGTTCTGAAAGTTTAAATAAATTAAACTTGATTGTAAAACTGATGACAGCCATCAAGAGCAGATATCAGTTTATATGAGGTTCAAAAAGGCTCAGATTTTATCAGATCTATAATCAAGTTTATAGATCTGTTAAAGGCTTTAATGATATGGTCACAGAAAGTAAAGAACTGGCATCTTCTTCAGATGTTGATACAAATTTTAAAAGTCAAGAAACATTAAGACTCCCGAAAATAATAATTAAAAAAAAAATTCTTTTACAAAGGCCAAGACCAGCCTATGCGAAACGAAGTAACATAGTATTTTTTTGGGGGGGGGATTTTAGATGTTGCGATATCATCTTTAAATGATATCTTTTCTTCAAATTCTTAAGTTTTTAAATTTTTGTGAAATATTTCTGATTTTACTAAATACGCTGAACAAGATCAGCTCAATTTATGTCAAAAACTGCAAAAAGCATTAACTGATAAAAATCAAAGCGATATAAATATTGTAGATCTTTTGCATGAACTACAGTTTTTGCAAACTTTTCGAAAAAAATCTAGCATCGCTGGCTGAAACTCAAAGCTACATAGTTATCACACATTTAACTCACTCCTTTCCCTATATTTATATTACTTTACGTATTTTATTAACAATTCCAGTCTCAGTAACTACAGCAGAGTGATCATTTTCAAAATTGAAAATTATTAAAAATTACCTGAGGTCCATGGGTCAAGGAAGATTGGCAAATTTTGCAATTATTTCCATTGAAAGTGATATTTTATAAAAATTAGATATAAATTTACTTATAAATCAATTTTCGAAAAACAAAGCCCGAAAATTTCAATTTCTGTAATTTTACTCATTCCAAATATTGAAATTATTTTGTTTCAGTTCATTTGTTTATTATATGTTAGTATTATATGTTTTGCTAACATTTGATCGAACACAATTTATGTGAAAATGGATTCAAGGATTTAGGCCACTTGAGGTGCTTTAAAGGCAGATTCAGCTTTCGAGCTTGCTGGAGGGTTGCTTTCAAAACAAACACAAATCGATTTTATTGAACTTGTTAAAAACAATATTTTTCTTCCTGAATATCAAAAAATTATTCAAAAACTGCCGTTGAAGTGGAACCCTCATTTTCTGCAGAACCAATTGACGTACATCTTTGTGGTCCCAATTTTTATCTTTCTGTTTTTTAAACGTGGATTGGTGAGAAAATAAGATTCATTTAAAAAATCATGGGCACTTACTGCTTCCAAAGATAATGTGTCTGAGAATACGCATGCAAAGTTTGAAGCAAAACAGATCAAAATTAAACGATATACAATGTACGTCGACATGAGAAATATTATTTTTAGGAAAAAGGCGTTTTAAGATTTTTAAGACTTTAAATCTAAAACGCATTACGAAAACTCTACCTTTTGCCATTTTTCACCCAATTTCTGTGGCATACATTTGCCCCTTCAGTTTAGTACTTTTGGTAGCTTTATGATGGAATTTTTAACCCTTAATGTGTTAATAAATAATTAAAACTAAATATCTATTTGTCTACACTTCTACATATTAATACACTTCTACATCTTTAGCTTTATAGTTCCCAATATTTAACTCATTAGATATGTAAATTAATTTGTTTTTAATTTTAAGATAATAAATAGTGTTAATCAGTATATTTGATATTTAATGCTTTCAGCATTTATTTTAGGTTCACTTACGATGTTATTTTTTATAATATAAATATATAACTCTTCAATAAATATGTCTGAGAGTGAGTTTAAACAAAACACAAAATGTTTGCACATTTAGAAAAATTGAAAAATAAAATGTATTTTTTTTTTTTTTTTGGTTTTTCATATTATTATGTTAATAATACTTCAATTTTAAGTGTTAACCATAAATAATTTCTCATTAATATTATCGTCACTCACTATACATTTGCACGACAGCCCCGATTAGGCTTGGCCTGTCTACATTTTTGAAGGTACAAAATGTAGGTTTCAATTCCAAACTCTAAATATACACAGCTTGGAAACAAAAGAAAAATTTAGCACATTTAATCATGTGATGTTTTACTTTGTTGTGAGGAGGTGTTTCATCCTCTTCCATTAGCTGTTAGGCAATCTATTCATGCATACATGTACTACTCTCCAATTTAAATATTCTCTTTCTTAGAATTTTGTGAGAGAGGAAATTCTTAGAAGTTGGCTTTTAAATCAAAATGACATGCAGAACAGACAGAATTAAATATTTATTTTGAATTTGTGTAAAAACAGAATTAGATGTAGTGCCATAATCTGATTCTGAATGACTTTACTTCCTATAACCTTTACAAATCATTAAAAAAAATCTTGACGTTTTACAATAATCAAATCAAAAATAAGAGATAAATAGCTGCTCGAATGGATATGTTAATGAAACAAAATTACTGTAATGCATAAGAAGCTCTTGCTTTTGCAAAAGATCACTACGGGGTATGGTTTATGTCATAAAAGCACCATCAAACCACTTTTTTTTTTTTCCAAAACAAGGTAGGTGATGCAGTCACTGTTGACTGGTGAGCGATACTGATTGATGATGACAAATAATTTGCGACCAAACCTGGAAGGCATATGGTTACAGAAAGATGGTGACAAATTTCACATTGCTAATGCCACTATTGACATACTGCAAAAAGAGTCTGGTGAAAGGATAATTTCACAAGATGCAACTGTTAGTTGACTTCACAGAAGTTGTGATTTTAGATTAATTTTTGTGGGGGCTATTTCAATAAACCATTGAAACATTAAGAATAAACACTGCATTTGTGACATTAGGCCCAAGTTATTGCAAAGTCATTTAAAATTGGGTTCACGGAATTTGCTGTTGATCAGTTGTATCTGATATAGTTTTTATTTTACTTTGTTTTAAAATGATATCATTCTTATTGGAAGAACATCTATAATTATTACATATCTTTAATAAAAGACACTTCAAATTAATTCAGCATGTTCGTACCTGTTCGGAAATACACCGCCAGCCGTAGTCATCTGTACGATCACATTCATATGTTTCCCCTAAGAGAGGATTGAAAGGCTTTCCAGTTCTGTTACTTGTAGTAGCATATGCAGATACTGTATATGCAGCAACATACGTCATTTGTTCACAACTGTCTGTACATTCTGCAGCTTTATCCAACAAATCAGAATACTCATATTCTTCAGTAAGACGCTGAAGTGTCGATAAAGGTTCATTGAAATTGACCTGCAAAGGAAACACAACATACAATGAAATACAAAGGAAACAACACATACAGTTTAACGGGAAAACACTTAAGATGAAATATAGGTTAACACGAAATAATACAACCAGCCTGACAAACTATCATGTATTTTTCCCCCTCACAACACGAAACAAAAATTGCTTAACACGAAAAGATTTCCCTTCTGGAATGAAGAAAATATGAAAAACACCAGCCGCGCAGGCGAGATTTAAGAGGGGTGGCATCACATGTTTCATAGAAAGGAGGCTAACTTAGCTTTGAAATACACTCGGAATAGCCTGTGATGAGTATACTGCAGTGTAAGTAAAAATCAGTGAGTTTTGTTTGTGGGTTTCCACCCCCCCCCCCCATTTTAGGATTTTTTTTTTTTTTTTTTTTTTTTTTTATGAGCACAATGGCAAAGAGCTCAGGAGGAAAGCAAACTGCTACTTAACTTAAAATGAAGATGGAGCTTCTTAAGGCTGTTGATCAAAAACAGACGACGAAAACAGAAATCTGTAAAGATTTTGGTATTGTTAATTCTACATTATCAACAATAATTAAAAAAAAAAAAAAAAAAAAAGAAGAAAATTATGGAAATGTTTTGATGAAGTAGACACAGCAGAAATGGATGAGAAATAAATGTAAATACTGTTGTGCATGTAATCATGCAAAACATAGTTTTTGGATATGATGACTAAGGAAGATAAAATCAAGCAGCTTTGTTTTCCAAATGTTACTTATAAATTATATTTCTGTATGTAGTATAATCGAGATGAAGAATACTTTATTTATTGTATTAATAATAAAAAAAATCTCATGTAGACACCATGACTTCCTTGTACGGCCTATTAAATTTTAGACAATTTTTGTTGTATGTCATTTAAACTTAATTCTTCGGATTATTCTACTTAATCAACCTATTTTTCAATAAGTTGAAAATGCCATAGTTTAGAAATGGAAACACAAGGATTTGGAGATGGCTATACTTTTTGGTTCAAACAAGCAAGATCTCGGAATGCTCCCATATCAGGCCCCATAATGCTACAAGGAATCAATGAACTTGCTAAAAGAATAGGTATTAAATTTTCTGCAAAGCCAGAAAATTTCAAGAGAAGAAATGGCATAGTACTAAAAAATATTTAAAAAGTTGGAACATTTCAAGAAAAGAAATGGCATAGTACTAAAAAATATTTACAGTGAAGCTAATCAAGTTTTGCTGACCATGACAGTAAATTGGTTTCAGTCTATGTTGCCTTCTTCTATGCCTGAAGAATATGAAGCAAAAGATGTCTTCAACACGGATAAAACTGGGTTATTTTACTGCTGCTTATGCAATAAAATTTTATTGTTTAAGGGACAATTGTGCTCAGGGGGAAACTGTCTAAAGAACGGTTTGTGATATTGGTAGGATGTAATTCGGATGGTTCTAAAAAACTGCCCCTATTTGTTATTGGGAAAAGTTTGAAACTGTGGTGTTTTATGAATGTACAAACATTACTAGTTGAATACACAGCAAACAAAAAGGCATAAATGGCAGCTACAATGTTCACCTATTGGATCATACAGTTAGGTGAGAGATTCTTACAAGAAAAGCGTAAGGTTGCAATGATAACTGATAACTGTCCAGTTCATCTCAACATTGTATTGAAAGCTATAAAGCTTATCTTTTTGCTTTCGAATACAATAAGTGTCTTGTGATCAAGGGATTATACAAAACATGATATCTTTATAACGGAAGCAATTGCTTTGAAAATATTTACTCAAGAACGAAGCAAATGAAGATTTCTCAATTAATTTATAGATGCTCTTCAGATGTTGCACTCTGCATGGAATTCAAGCACTATTGTATGAATGCCCATCTTTTTAAAATTTGACTTACGGACTCTTTGTAACCCTTGACAATAAATGGATAAGGAGCATATTGATGAATGTACTGCACTATTATCTTTTAATTCTGAATACTAGGAAGGAAGATCAAGATTAATGGCTTAGTGGCCAAATGTTCGGCATTTTTATAAATAAAATTTCAATATTTTGGAAATAATCAACAGCCAAACATTATCATTTATGTTAACTGAACATTCTGTAGCTGAATTTTTGCAATAGAACTGGAAGTAAATGATGGTTCTAATCTGATAGCATGATAGTTCCATTTTAGACACCTTGTACTTAATGAAAACAATATTTTTTTAACAAATTTCACAACGCAGTGTTCTAAAGCAAGTATCTTTCTTTCAAATGTAAAAAAATTGTTTGACAACAAGTGATCAAACAAGCCAACACAAACTGTTTGCGCAGAAGAAATATGCGATAGCAGAAAACTTTCATTAAAACCCGATATGTATATATACACACATATATACACAAACACACGTACACCTACCTCCTTCTACGGCCTTTATTTAAAAAAAAAATCACTGGTCGTAGTCATATACTTCCAATTATAAAAATGTTTTAAATGATGATATTCATGTTTTGGAAATATCAAAATAAAATTTTTTTTTTTTTTACAAATAACGAAATCTAACTTTTAATGCAGTCATCCAGTTCCTATAATTATATTTTGTGAAGTTTTGTACCTGTTACGAAAAAAATAAAATTGAAAGAAGTTTGACTCAAAAATTGACCAGGGTATTATTTAATTTCATAATTATTTATTTTGATGCCATTTTCAACTTATTGAAAGATAGGTTAATTAAGTAGAATAATCCGAAGAATTAAGCTTAAATGAAATACAACAAAAATTGTCTAAAATTTAATAGGCTGTACAAGGAAGTCATGGTATCTACATGAAATTTTTTTTATTATTAATACAATAAATAAAGTATTCTTCATCTCGATTATACTACATACAAAAACATAATTTATAAGTAACATTTGGAAAACAAAGCTGCTTGATTTTATCTTCCTTAGTCATCACATCCAAAAACTATGTATTGCTTGATTACATGCACAACAGTATTTACATTTATGAGATCCCCAAGTCAAAAATATGGAAAACTACCACAGAGTAAAAAATCTGACACAATTTTAAACAATTCAGTATATCTGCATAAAGCACATACTTTCAAACAAATTCATTGAAGAAGCAAATATATGTAATTTTTAAAATTTATTAAAAAATTAAGTTATGTTTCACATCAAGCTTAATTTTTGGAACTGCCGCAATAACAGTTTTCTTTGTTAACAAATAAAAGTTCAGTATAATCAGCAATACATTTTGGCTTTTCACTTAAGTATCAGACACGAACTTGAAGTATGTATATTAACAGGTGCTAGATATGAAGAACAAAAAACTGATAAGCCTCACAAGGATGACTCTTAAAAAAGTTATACATAGAATAAAAATTTACACATATTCTCTCAGAACCTTTTTTATACTGAGAAATGCCTGTTCTTTAATATAACTCTAGAGAAGGCCATAAGAGACTCTGGAATAAACATAAGTAGAAACATCTTGCACAGAACCATTCAACTGCTGTCTTTTGCCGATGATATTGATATCACTGGGTGATCGAAACAAGCTGTGGTCAAGACATTTGTCTCACCTGAAAATGCAGCAAGAGAGATGGGCCTAATCATTCATGAATACAAAACTAAATTTACGATTGCATTTAATAAAACTGTCGATTTATCCTCCTTGAAAATAAATAGTTATACTTTTACCCTAACACAATATCTGGGCACACTGATTTTTTACAAACCGTAAAACAATTTAAATATCTGGGCACACTGATCACAAGTTGCAATGATATAAAAATTGAAATATACAATAGAATATTTATGGCTAATAGATGTTAAATATAACTTAAATCCAAACTAATCAACATAAAAACTAAATTAAATGTATATAAAACTTTAATAAGGGCTGTTGCCCTTTATGGATGTGAATGTTGGATACTTAACAGAGCAGCGAAAGACCTGACATGAACTTTTGAAAAAAAAAAAAAAAAAAAAAAAAAAAAAAAAACCTAAGATCTTTGTGCCAGTACAACAAAATGGTATGTGGAGGCTCTATAATCATAAACTATAGGGAAAATATGGTGAAACTGATATTATGAGAATCGTAAAGGCATCTTGTATCAGATGGCTGGGCCACGTGTTTAGATATGATGATACATTTCCAACCAAAACGATAACCTTTTCGTGAACTGAGGGAGTAAGACGAAAAGGAAGACCACCCATTAGATGGATAGATGATGTCGAGGAAGATTTAAGGTTAATTGGTGTTAACAAATGGAGAGCTATTGCACTGCATGGGGTCAGGTGGAGGAAACTTGGAGACAGCCTTGGTTTGTAACAGGCTGTGGAGCTTCTGAAGAAGATATGAAGAAATGCTAGAAGGAAAATAATTGTTCATTGATTGCAAAGAAATTTGATAAGTTATTGTGATTATTAGTCATTAATTATTCACTAAATTATCTTTGAGATCTTTTACAATAGGTCGTCAAAGGGATTTTCTGGTTCCAAAACATTCATTTGTAATTTTATGTAATGAAAGCAAAAAAAATCTTAATCTGCAATACATTTAGGTTACCAATGCTCCACATTCTATTATAATATCACCAATTTAAAACACTGTATGCGAGTATATTTTGCTGTAGAATTGGATGTGCAGCGAGCTTTTTAGCTTGAATTTAACAGAGTTTGCTCATTCAGTAAAATCGAAATAAATCGATACACACAAACACCATATACATTTACAATGCTCTTTCATATTTTTACGACATCCGCTTTCCAGCACAAATCCGCTAAATGCATACTTTTATGTGACTTGTGCTCAAGTAAAAGACAGCAATAAACATAAAAGTACACTTCTCACATGCAATGAGTTAGTTAAATGAACTTTCAACAAAGGGCCATGGAATGAAATTAAAATAAATCTAATCAGTTTTGTCAATACTGGATACCTTTGCTTTCCATTTTGTTTAACCTGAAAGCCTCAGCTACTGCTTGACTTCTGTTAACAGTCTGTGTGTCTTCTGTCAACAGTTTTAAAGTCGCATTATCTTTGAATGATATAAGCAATTAATGAAAGAAAGATAATGAATCTGCATTATACAAATCCAGAAATTTTGGATCCAGAACGATTAAGAATTTAGAATTCCAGCTATATCCGGACTGTAATCACTGCTGAACAGATGCTATAAAGCAGATTATCAATAATTTCAAATGTATGCAAAATGCAAAAAAAAAAAAAAAAAAAAAAAAACTTTTACATTACGTAAATTATCAAGAAGAACCTAAAGATATGTAAGTTTATTTTGTGTTTTACTGGTTACAGGCTATTACAGAACACAATATATCGCATACCTCAAACCGTTTGAAAAGAACTAATAAATTATTCAGACACAAAGTGGGGGAAAAAAAAAACCGCCTTAGAAATATTATAAATGTAATACATAATTAATAAAAATTTTGACATGAAGAAGCATGAAACTTACAGGCATGGGAATTTTTGTTAACTCTTTACCAATGCAATTCTTCATTATTGACCACAGATTCAGACTGTAATTGGGCTTTTCAGGAACTGTCATGCGTCTTTTTTTAACAGGTACCATACTTCTGTTGGTATCTCGAGGGACTCTGTAGCTGGAACAATTAGGTGTTCCAGGAGCACTTGAGGACTTGTTTTCGGAATCAGAATTATTGTCTTCTTCAAAATTGGATACACATACAGAATGTACTTTTCCTTGTTCTACTAACATCTGAAAAAAAAAAGGGGGGGGGCATGCTATAAATGAAACTGTTAAAATTTAATTCTCAAATTAAGTTTAAAAGAAAAATTATTTCATAAATCTGCCAGGAATGTGTTAAATCTTGTTTAATCATTGAAAAAGTAAAGAAGTAAATTAAAGATATATTTTCTTTTAAGCATTCTCTGTCTAAACATGATAATTTGTAACTTATATAACTAATTTAACATTTTCAATACACTTACAGTCAAACTCCATTCTGGCTTATAATGAACAAACTTTAGTGTCTTGTTCATTTTTCTAGACTTATGTTATTTCATATGGCTATAGTACACTTCCAAATGTACAAAAATTGGATAGAACAAACTGCATAAATATCTTAAACACAAAGCGTTTTGTATTTGTCAGACTTTTATAGAATCTTGACAACTTTCAACTTAAAAATTACTAATAATTAAATTCATCCTAATTAGGGTTTAGAATAATGAGAAACAACTTTAGGTTACCATTCTTTTATCTTCATCTTTCTCTATGAGATGCTGGTGTAGCACTCTCCTTGGAAAAGCAGGACACACAATAAACATACTTTTGGTGAACCTACAGTATCACACAGTGAAAGCACCAAAGAAACACTTATCAGTTGAGACAAAGTACTTGAATCAATTCTTTGATTCCATTTGAGTTCGTGGATCGAGCTGTCAAATATTTGTCTCCATTCAAGACTAATATTTATTCATAACTCTAAATGCACATTTTAGACGGAAATGAGTCTCTGGAGGGAAAGATTTAAAGGATGATTTTTATGCTTAGTAATTTTTCATGTAAAATTATTAATGTGTGGTGAAACTGAATATGAAAACCAAATTGACTCATTAATGGTAATAATTGTAATTAACTTTTAATTAAATTAAAATTACTAATAAAATTTTTTGACAGATATGATAATGCTAAAGACTTTCTGCAATTTTTACTCTATTTTGTGAGATGACGCATTTTTATCTTATCAGAACAGATAAAGGACCAAATTGGTCCTTTATCTGTTCTCTGAGGTTCAGTCCTCTGAGGTTTGACAAAGCAGGCTTCAACTGTTATACTAATAATCCTAAATTAAAATCAGCAGAATTTTATAGACATTTTTAAAATCCTAAATCAGGAGTTTATGTTTGTAAGACCTGTCACAGCAGTGAGCAGAAATACTGCAAATGAATATGAAGTAAAAATTTATTCATTGTAAAAGATTTCTGTTTCTCATATAGAGAACTTAACATACTCTATTCCGTTTTGTCTTCTTTCTTCGGGCAATAATGTCTTCCTTTGCTCCATTTGCTCCTTCAGGATCAGTGTCAGAAGAGGCCCCACCATCCTGGAATCCCTGACCTTCACTTTGAAGACTAAAACCACTTGGCGTTCTCCTGTTATAGAAGCAAAAATTTTAACCATTAAAAAAAAAAAAAAAAAAAAGACAGCTTTTCAAAAAAAATTTTTATAAAAAATATCTTTTCCAAGATCAAAATACATAAAAATCTTTACCTGTGACCTTTGCCAGGAATAGTAATAACAAAATCTGCACCCGTTTCTTCCTCAGCATCATAAAATTCTTCATCATCAGAGTGTATACCTGAAATGAATGCTTCATCTCAGAAATTTACACCACAGGAACTTTATTTCTATACATGTATATGTGTCTGTGTGTATATATATATATACATATATATTTCTATAAATGTATACCAAATATATAGAAACTTTAGTTCAGAATTGTAAAAAGCACCCTTTATATTTAATGACAACAATATTTTTTGTGGCATATTCCTGATCAGTATTTCAGTTAATTTGTGCCTAAAATAATCAAGTCAATAAACAGTGGTTTTAATGGAAATCAAAAAGATTTTCGTATCATACAACAGGTAGTTCAAAATATTCTCCATTCCGGCAGTCTCAAATTGGCGGCCTACTAGCTATACAGAGCACTCAAAGCAATTTTATATGGCCCACAAATACCTTTCAATTATGCATTTGTTACAAATATAGTGATCCAAAGATTTTAGTTATTTGCAGCCTAAGTTGATGTTAATTAAGTATTTACCATCAACTTAGGTTCAACACCTCATCATCAATTATTGATGGTAATTAATTAATTAACATAAACCAGAAAACTATAATTCGAGCTAATTAACTTATAATAAAAATCTTATTTAAAGAACTTTATCTTATTTAAAGGAGAAAGATTTGATTAACACTTATTGTTAAAAAATAAACTCTGTTATGAATTTCTGCACTCAAAAACAATCACTTTGCTTGGGAGTACATTTATGAATGAACAGCCTTTTTCACCATTAAGAATTAATAAGAAAAGAACGATTGTTCAAAGAGCATCTACGATCCATGATGAAGAAAATTTGTCTCCAAGGCTAAAAAATTTGGAGCAGAACCATCATCAAGTGTCAAATTGTAGCAATAAACAAAGTTTATAATTATTTACATAAAAACACAACATTATTTATACACAAACATGTGTATTTTTATTTATGAACTGAAGAAAAATTTAATAAATAGGACAAAGAGGCTTATGCTGTTACAATTTATATTTGAGTTTTGTACTATTTAAAAAGTTTTTCTTTGAAAACTAAAAGTAATTTTCATAATCTGTTTATATTAAAGAAGTTTCTTATTTAATTAACATGTTAAAACTATTTTAAATAAATATCAGTCTGAAAATTTAACACACAGCCATCAAATATTTGAAAAACAGAGCTTAATTAACAACCGCAGGTACCATATTTTAAATTTCATATAGAAAATACATACATATTTTAATTTTTTTCCTTTGGGATATCATTATTATTATTATTGTTTATATAAATTTTGATAAATATTTATGGGTATAAGTATTTTGATAAGTATTATGATAAGTATTTTGGGATGCAATTGGAGTTTGAGACTACTCAGGGTTAAAGACAACGGCTAGGTCATTCCCTTGAATGACCACACACTGATGCGATCTTCGTAGGAAGAATGAACAGGAAGTAGTCTGATGTAACCATGTTGCATCAGCTATGACTTTGCTTATATAAAACTGTAGTTCCATTCTGCTGCAAAGCTATATTCTAGCAAAGCCTCCCAAATTAAATTTAATCACATATATTTGTTTTCTAGTAAAGCAGTGGTCCCAAACCGGTAGTTCTCGAAATAATTTTATGTGGCCCACAAATACATTTCCTGTAAATAAGTTAGCATTATTATGAAAAAAATTTGAAGAATAAATTTAAGATTTTAATGGTTTGGAATCCAGTTTTACATTATTTTCACTACCAAAAACAAACGTAACTCTTTGGAAAACTGAGAAACAGAACTAATTAATTCATACTATGATGTAAAGATTTTAAGACACAAATTTAATTCATTTTTATTACTCATCAAAAGATATTTATCTTCAGTTACGAATTTTTGCAACAAGAATACTTGCCTTGTTTCTGAGTAAATTTACATGAGAACAGTTTCTTCATAGTTGAAAATTAATAAGTCTATGAAAAGAACCAGACTGCTAATGAGTATCTACAATTTGTGACGATACTTTCTAGTAATTTCCCTCTAAGACTGGAAACCTCATGAAAATCGAAACATCACGAGCTGTTGTAGCTGAAAGGTGTAGCAAAAAACAAAGATGTTTACAATTATTTACAAAAAAATTTTAATTTTCCTGTATAAGTCACAGAAAAATCTGAAAGGAAGAGAATAGTTGTCATTATTCTCACTGTCTATTATCTTTCTTTTGTTTATTAGATTATCTTGAGAAACTTTCATGTATTTCTTTTTAGTTTAAATTTAAAGTAAATTATTTGGTAATTATTTCAATCTATTACAATTACTGGAATAAATGTCAAGCTGGAAATTTTAATATTTAGCTGTCCGCGCATCTGAATTATAAATTGTGACCAACAGAAATTTCTTGCAGACAAATTTTTAGATTTCAGGCAAAATATAGGCACAAAATTGAATTTTGTTCTTTGCATTTTTTATATGCATGTTTTGATAAATATACAGTAAAACCTTTTTAATTCAATAATCTGTTAAGAAAGGAAGGGTTATTGTATTTCATGTTTTTCCAAAGGACAAATTGCTTTTGGAGAAAAAAATGGCTACATGTGTTGAAGACAGGATTCTATTAAAGTGAAGAACACAAGAATTTTCAGAACATTTTCTATGCAGTGATTATGAAGACGGCATGAAAAATAGCTTGCTTGGATTACTGCAAAAGAAACTGATAAAATTCACTGCTGTGACGTGAAAAGAAAAATAACACAGAATGCTTATGATAGACTACATAAAGTAAGTCTTATGAAAATTCATTTTGAAGCTGAATATGAAAACTATAATAGAAATAATAAATCAGGTATGAACGATTTTAAAACAGAACTCACAGATGATGATGTAAATTCTGGCCTGAAATCAAACCTTATTTTAAACGATTCACAACTACTACAAAGGACATACGAGAGCGTATTGAAGATCCACGTAAAAAGCAATATGATAAAGGAAGATGACAAGTGTCTTATTCACCAGGTGATAAGGTATGGGTCAATTTACATCCCGTTAGCAATGCAAAAAACAAAAGGCAAGGGTCTTCCATCAAACCACATGAGGGGACTTTTGGCTCACTGCATATTTAGAACAACACAGCAATGCAAAAAACAAAAGGCAAGGGTCTTCCACCAAACCACATGAGGGGACTTTTGGCTCGCTGCATATTTAGAACAACACAATGCCTCACCAATACTATTACATTTATAAACATCCATGCCTTCTCCGGGATTTGAATCTGGGCTCTTCGGAACGGCAGTTAGTAACACTAAACCACATCACAATTATAACTATTTTTTCATGCATAGTTCATTTTATGGGTGGTTTTTCAAATTAAAAATGTTAATTTCATTTCTTAGAATTGAGTTTTCATGGTAAGTATCACCATGACTATGCCATCACTCCTCACTTCTTGTTTCAGTGGGAAAAGCTCTATGAACATTCCTTCTCTTCTAAGCCCTGAGACTACTGCTCTAATTGGTTTAGTAAATAATACTATGTAGGCCAGCAATGAGAAGTCTGCAATGACAAGTCAATGTAGCAATGATTTTCTTCTTACCCGGTGAATTTGCAGATGCCTCTTTTGCAGCTCTTTCTAAATGAGAATGTTGTTTAGCAAGTTGTTCTACCATCTCTTCCAATCGTAACCGCTGCTCGTGCTCATGTTGTAACATTTTTTGCCATTTGCGTCCCTGGGATTGTGCTAGTTGCATATAATCTTGACAAGCCTAGAATATAAGAAGCAGACATGAAATAAATAAATATATAAATATAAATTATAATTTAAATTAGCAATAGTCCCTTAATGCTTAGTTTAAATTTGTTCATTTCCTCTCTCTATTCTAAAAATAGTAATCTTTTTCTGCACTAGATCATTTTGAGACTAATCCATGTCAGATCACTCCTACATGATCAAGTGGGATTGATCATGTAGTGATTACTGATGCTGTAAATGGAACAAACAGCCAATAATAATTTTACAGCAGTATTAATTATCCAATTGAATGCATTCAGAACCAAAATTAACTCCTTTTTAATTAAGATTTCATCTTGAACACAACTTACTTGCTTTCTACACTTCAGGCTAGCTGGATTGCTTCTCTCTTCTTATTGCAAAGCTATCAAAAATGTAAACGTTTTGAAATAGGCAAGCATAGTTTGCCAAGTTGTTTATGGCTGCAACATGTTCTTTAAAATAAAGGTGAATATTTGATCTGCCTCAGCTGCCAGCTTGCTCTTCATTATGGATCAACATTCTGTGCAGTCAATATTTCTACAACATCACTACTACTAAATTTATTGCTTCATCATATAATACCTGAAAGCAAAAATACACAGAGACTGGGAAAAAGATATACTGCAATTACTTGCATATTTCTCGCATAGCTTTTTAAAGCAAGACTCTGAAATTTTTTGAAGCATTTACATAATTTCCCTTTTCTGTTTAAGACATTCAGAAAGGAAGCTCCCCCAAAATTTTAAAATGAATTTATTTGCCCCCTCTAGGAGGTTTTTTTTTTTTTTTTTTTTTTTAAATTAACTAATTTGTTTGTGGATTTTGTATGCATGGTTTCTTATTGATGAAGCAATTATACTATATACTGGATGATTACAGGCCTGCAGAATAGCTATGGACAACTACAAGAGCAGGTTAGATTCAAGATGCAGGGAAGCAGAAATGAAGATATTTGATTAGATAACGTATAGTTCCCGCTAATTTATCCATGAATACTTTTAATTTGTTATGTTTTTATTGCACTGCAACCTTCAGAAATTAAATGATTCGCATAATTCTCCCCTCTCGATTTTCATATGATAAAATAAGAGAAAAAAAAAAAAAAAAAAGGTGGAATACATGAGTAAATACAATATTACAAAATCTTAACTTTGAAGAAAAGAGGTACAGAATATTTTAATTAGCACAATTAGTGCACTAGCAAGCAGAATACTCATTTAACTTCCTGTATTTTTCATTATTAAAAAAAAAAGGAAAAAAGGACAATTTACTTGCCATTCATTATATACATAGCACGTATACACAGCGACATACCTATGGATATCAAAACCTATGATGGAAATCTCCCTCACTTATTGGAATAATCAACAAATAAAATGTCAACCCAAAAATATAATTGTCATTTATTTGATTAAAATTATATGGAAAAAAAATTAAGATTCGAAAAATAAATAAATAAAAACTTATACTAGCAAACAAACATATCTTTAAAAAAAGCTTATTAATCTGCCATTTTTGGTTTAAAAAATTTTTTTGTAACTTTTCAGATAGCAAAATACACTAAAAATGTTTTTTGAAAGCTTTGGCTTTGAATTTTTTACAGCTTTATCAAAATTACTGTTTTTAGGTACCTCATTTTCAATGGTAAAGACCCAAAATCTGTTAAGGCTCACTTACTTGGCTCACTGTTGATTAAAAACATCTTAATCAACTTCAAAAAGATTCTCTTACAAAAAAGCAACCGAAACAGATGCTAAAAAATCTGAAGTTTTTCCGAGCAACCCCCCCAATCAGATGCATGTGGCAGTCCACCCCTCCATATGCATCAAGGATTTTATTTTTTTCAACTGAACATGATGAAGCTGCCAAATGATAATTTACCGCAATGATAAAAAACACCTAAAAGAAAAGGGGAAAAAAAAAAAAAAAAAACTAAAATGAATATAGCACAATTTGGCCTAAAGAAAGTGCAGTTTGTTGTCAAATGTTGTAAACATTCATGATAAATGAAAAATTGGTAATTTATTCAATATGTACACAATAAGCCATTTAAAATATATATACATACATGTAGAAGTAATTTAACTCAAATATGTATTTATTATGGTACATAATACAATTTTGTCAGCAATTTAATATTTAAAATAACAACATAATTCAACAGAACTTAATACATACATTAATTATGGTATTTAATACAATTATATAAGCAAGTTATATAAATAAACATGGTAGAAAATTCTATTTATTATTTTACTGAATACGATTTTGTTAGCAATTTATTAATATACACACAAAATAAACATTTAATTTTTCATTCATTCATTTTTTACAGGCTCTTTCTGGTGGCCACATTGTTGCTAATAATGCCTCAGACATCAATTATAGCTTCTTTTCTACTGATGGTAGATTGAAAATATAGGGTGACCTCAAACAGGCACACTGGACATGGGAGACTTTACATTCTCTGGGTTCAGCTTATTTTGGAACACCCAATATTCAGCATAATGGTGTATTTTACAATGAAAAAATGCAATTATAAAAAAAGCAGTCAGCTTATCAATTGTTTATTTCTCTCCAAAGCTGCTACAGAAAACAAGGACCTTGGAATCTTAGCAACTGGAGAGCAAAACTAAAGTAATGGAGACATTTATTGAGCAATAAATGCTACTTACATTTATCATGGCATTAGATGTTATGCGAAATAATGTAGCTCTTTCATTTACACTCTTAATCTTGTTCACAGCATCGCTAGCAGTTTCCAGAGTTTCGAGTTCAGACAAAGAACGTTGAAGTGCAGTCCCATGCTTGATGATTAGGTCATTGCATGTATTTAAATCTTCTAATTTAGCATTTAATGTTTTTAATATGGATTGGAGTTCATTCTTTTCAGATTGAGCAGGTAAAATATTGAAATCTTCATCATCATCTAAAATTGGGGGGGAAAAAAAGCTAAAATCACATTTCAACCATTTGACAATTTTATAAACAACAGTCGAATCCTACTAAAACCAACTTCAAGGGACCAAAAAATTTGGTTAGCTATAAATGATCTGACGAGGGAAAAATGGATCATAATTACTAAATTTTTCCTTTCATTTTTCAGTTTTACAGTTTTCCCCTTTCCCCCTAAAAAATCATACAAATGTATGCAGTTTTTCACATTACAAATTATTACTTTAACAGTTAAACTTTACAAAACACTGCTATAACAAATGAACACAGGCATGTAAAACATATGCACTGATAATTTGGTACTGTTTTGTTATCAGGATCAGGCTCAGAAATGTATGTATGTATGCATGCATGTGTTCATGTATGCATGCATACATTTCTGAGCCTGGTCCTGATAACAACACAGTACCGAATTATCAGTGCATACTTTGTTTTTACATATATATGCATACGTATATGTAACTATGAATGTATGTGTATACACATTCATACATTTCTGAATCCGGTCCTGATCACAGAACAGTACCAACAGTTCTTAGTAACTAAGGTCTAGAATGAGAATTAGCAGTATAATATTGTGTTATCTAACTACTTATTATATTCCTAAATCTAAAACCAGTCTAACATTTATATTATCTTAATCTAACTAGTCTAACCTTTATATTACCTTAATTTTAAAATTCCATAGAATTTTACAGAATAACGTAACCTTTGTTTTCTAATGATTTTACAACAAAACATAGATAAATAGCAAATTGACATAGTAATATTAAATTTTAGGAATCATGTATATAGGGGGTGACACAAATTTTAGAATTTAAAGGAGCAGAGAGCAACAAAAATTAGGAAAGACAAAAATCACCATAGGCAGCAGAATTTAAAAGGGTAAAATTTGTAGAATTTTAGGAGGTATCAGGCAGCTTAGAACATGCAGAAATTTCACATGATAGAAACTGTGTAGCAATGGCCCTGTCTTCCCACACACCCATAGAAGGGTCAAAATTGCAATTCTGGCCAATATCAATCCGACAACACCAATCAAAGTATTACTATTGGCTATGGTGAGATTCCCTACACATCAAGGTGTTTGAAAGTGACATGTAAGAATTTCAGTCAGTCAGGAGAATGGAACATCTGTTTCTTTTTTGCTGAGAATTATATTCTCCATTCCTAGATTTTGTAAAGGAGGAAGGGAGGAAGGATTTTGTCAGTCCAAAGAGAAATTTGGAATGAAATTTGGAATTTGTTTTATAATCAATTTCATATTTTGTAAAACTTTAATGAATTTTTGATTAACAAACTCAAGGATTTCAAAGTGAGCAATGACAATGTTGTATTATTTCCAGTGCACAAGACTTTGTATCAGAAATTCTAAAAATATGCTCTTTTTAAAATTATTTTATGATATTTTTCTTGAACTGAATTGTATGGTTTAAGTGGAAAGAAGATGATATTTAATAAATAAAGGTAACACACAAAATGTTTAAAAAAAAAAAAAAAAAAAAACTTTGGACATAATTTAAAATCTGAAACCTTTCAGATTAAAAAAATATATATATTTATTTTGGGCAGATGTCCAAATATTAGATCATTCCTGATTCGGGACACAAAGAGTTCCGCAAAAAATTAGAAAAGAAGCAATACAAAGAATTAGAGAAATGTATCACACTTGACTAAAAGAATGCAATTAACTCTGTTATAAAACTCAAATTTACATAAATTACATTACATATATATACAGGGTGATTCAAAATTTATTGTTCAAATTTGGTGGAGAGTAAGAAATATGTCAGGAAACCGATTTCACATAAGAAAGTATGTCGGCAAATGTATGTGAGGGCACTGTGCGTACCCAACCAGCGTACAGCTCGCTCAACCACTCCCACTGTCATCAGTGTATGAGTTGACTTAGTAGTGATAAAATGAATCGTTTTATGCATCAAGAGCTATCGGATCTGCATATCACACGTGGGGCAGCTGGCAAAAGCAGCTGCCAAGCTAGGCAAGTTTACGTAGACTGATACCCTAACAGAAGAATACTGCAGCATCAAATGTTCGCATGTGTGTATTGCAATCTGTGCGAATGTGGTTCATATATTTGTAAACAAGCAGTTAAATGATATGCATAAAATTGTATTGATAGATAATGTAAAAGTAAAAGCTCAAAGTAATTGGTTCACCTAGTACTAATTCTTCCGATTTGATTCTGATAGGCTTTGGTAATCGTAAAATAAAATCTATTGGTTATTTTAAAGGTTCCATACAAATCGATGATTGTGAAATTAAATCAAATATTTATGTTGCACCTCAAGAAAAAAATGAAAAATGTTTTCGCAAATGTATATCATTATAAACAATAATGGCACATCTAAAGTAGTAGAAGATGAAAATGAAGCAAATTTAATGTAGAAGATCAAGCAAAATTTAATCAAGAAGATAATTGTTCAGATATTAATAAAGCAGATAGGTCGAAAGCAAAATACTTAACTGAAAGTTATATTCCTAATAAAACTAAAAACTCTATAGAAGAAACAGATTATGTTGAAGATGAATTAGAAGAAAAAAGCAATGTTAAACGTGGAGAAGAAAATGTGCAAAATGTTGAAGGAAAGCATGCAAACGGAAGAAGAAAAAATCCACTTAAGAAAGTTCAGGAAATCAAAGAGAGTAATGAAAAAATTAATGATTTCAAAAAACTCGCTTCAGAGCAAAGAGTTCTAGAAAAAGAAAGAATTCAAAATCTGAGAAATTAGTTGAATATAATGATGAAACAGAAATATCAATAATTAAAAAGAGTAAACAGCAAGAGAAACTTCTAACTAAAGAACTGGATCCTGGTATGTTAGAAAAACTTAAAGGAAGACAAGCCAAAGGAAACTCTACTAATATTGAAATGCATATTATTTAAAAAGATGACCAACCTATTTCTTGAAGTCCCAGACATTTACCAATTATGGATAACAAAAGTGTTCAACTAATACATGAAAAACCCATTTCAAAAATGGATTTCAATGCTCGTGAACAACAAGTTAGATCTTTGGAAAAAAACTTTCTGTATCAGAAGAGTGTAGAAATGTTACAGAAGAACTAACTGATGCCCAGAATGAAGTAGAAGCTGCAAAATTTCAAATAAGCACCAAAGATAAAATCTTCTCTGAGCAAGAAAAATAAGTTCATCATGTTAAACTGAAAATGCAAGAAAAGCTAGCTTTTGAAAAGTATCGCATGAGAAAAATTATGGAGAAGAGATTATCTGCTAAACAAGCAGAATTGGAAAGAAAAGTGCGTATCATAAATGAAGAACTTTGTCAGTTGTGGGAAATTCTTAATGCTGATGATTGGCAATATTATGGAGACCTGTGGAATGCTGCTGCTTTTTCAACACCATTTGGTGTGACATCAACTTACGAATCAACTAAATTTAAGACAAGGTCATATAAGAGGCATAAATCTTTCGTTGAAGAACCTTCAGAAACAAGATTTCCCAAAGTAAAATCAGCTCTTAATTTCATACTTGGAATTGGCAAACAGAATGGTTCCACTTTTCAAGCAGATACCAATTATACTTCTGGGGAAAAAATAAATAAATAAATAGATAAATAAATAAATAAACTGAAAGAAATAACTAATGCAGAAATTCAAAATACTTTTGAAACTTACCGAGAAGATTTTCGAAAAGATATGAAGAAACAAATATTCAAGGTACAGGAAGAAAATAAAAAAACATATAACCTTTGAAAAACATTCTCCAAAATGTTACAAAATTAATGATTTAGTAGCAATCAAAAGAACTCAAATTGGACCAAACCTTAAGTTAAAATTAAAGTATTTAGGCCCATATAAAGTTGTCAAAATAAAGAATAATGGCACCTATGATGTTGTAAAAGAAGAAGATCATGAAGGACCCACAAAAACAACTACATGCGTTGAATACAAAAAAACCATAGGCCCAAACAGAAAATAATACTGATTATGCTATTTAAACCTGAAGTGATACAAATGATATCTGAACTGTGATCTTTCACCTAATAATGACTTTTATTTCAGCTAACTTTATTTTACGGTGAAATGAAGTTTTCCAAAAATGTTAAAGTTGGAGTTTTTTCTTTTAGATGAAGATTTTTGGGAGAAAAAAAAAAAAAAAAAAAAATCTCACCCTCTCTCATTGTATTTTTTTGAATTTTCAGATTTCAGTTTATTCATGATGATGGTTCCTTTTACCAAAGACAACGATGATGTAAGATGACCGGTAATTCTTGATGTCGAGAGTAGAATAATGTCATTGAGGTTGACACATAGCAGGAAGGCCAAATGTGGGATTCTAACTCCACAGCCCAACATTTTTCTTGCAAGGCATCTCATTTTTAACTGCTTACTGCATGAGTGAAATTGATGGAACTCTCACCACTTTGTTTCATAAAAGTGAAATGAACGTTGTATATGTATTAAAGTTTCATTAAATGTGTTTTGTTTCAAGATGGTTTGTGATTACCCAAAACAAAATCCCCCCCCCCACACATATATATATACATAGATCTTTATAATTTTCGGAACTGAATTCATATCTAATTTACATTCCGACTTTTACTTCTTTTTAATTTACTATTAATTCATATATATGTAATATATTCAGAAGCAGAAACAAACTTAGAAGTAATGACGAGCAGAATTTGGATGGCGTAGAAGTGTTGATCCATAATGACTAGGAAATTGGAGGCAAAGGCAGATTAAATCTTCAGTTTTATTTTCAGCAACATATCGGCATATTAAATGTGCCTGTTCTAAAGGGCTTACATTTTTTATAGATTTGGAGCAAAAAAGAAGAAGCAGACAGACTTCAGTCCAGTTAAGGCAAAGTGTAGAAAACAAGTGTGTAATGTTCAGGATGAAATCTTAAGTCAAACTGAGTTAGTTTTGGTTCTCAAAGCATTTTGATTGGATAGTTAATATTGCTGTAAAATTACCATTGGCTGCTTGAGTTTTAGTTTAATTTACCAGAATCACCAGAACATCACCAGAATTATATAAGAGTCATATGACATAGAATAGTCTTGAAATCGCGCAGTGCAGGTTACTATTTTCAGAATAGAGAAGGGAAATTTATGTTTCTAATTTAATCTTTTATATATACTTTATTTTTCTAACACATGTATATGTGTGTGTGTGTGTACACATATACACACATATATATAAGGCACATATATACACAGTAACTTCAGGCACCTATACATATGTATGGATATTGGGAGCCATACATATATGTATGTGTATATATGCATGTGCTGATATACGTAGTGTATTCGGAAGTACCGTTTCATTCTAGCGCCGTCACAGCACTATGGTAGGCGTCCCGAGCATGCGCACTAGTCTTTCTTGTTCACTGACTTTCAACTGTCGCCATTTTAGTTGCTCTATGTTGTGTTTTCAGTTTGCTGTGCACATTCAAAATGTTTAAGACAATTAGTTCTCCCGCTGAATGCGAGATTTGTGCCGTGATTAAATTTTTGAACGCGAGGAATGTTAAGCCGGCCGAAATTTATCGTCAAGTGACAGAAGTTTACGGTGAATAAGCGATAAGTGATGGAATGGTGAGAAAGTGGGTAAGAATGCTTAATGCAGGTCGAACAAATGTTCACGCCGAGGCTCGGAGTGGTCGGCCTTCTGTTGTCACCGATGATTTGGTAAGGAAAGTTGATGAAGCAATTCATGAGAACAGACGCTTCACAATGACAACTCTTTCAGAGGCATTTCCACAAATTTCACGTACTGTTTTGTTCGAAATTGTGTCTGACTGCTTGAATTATCACAAACTGTGTTCCCGATGGGTTCCAAAAACGCTCACTGATGTTCACAAAACAAAGCGACTTGGTAGTGCCCTGACATTTCTCACGCGGTACAGTGATGAGGGAGAAAACTTTTTAAACCAAATTGTGACGGGTGATGAAACTTGGGTGCGTCATTTCACACGAGAATCGAAACAACAATCGATGGAGTGGAGACACACTCATTCTCCGAAAAACCAAAAGTTCAAAGTGACAATGAATCACAAAAAACTCAGTGCACTGTCTCTGGATAGGAAAGGCGTTTTGCTTACTGAATTTCTTCCCAGAGGTGAAACCATTAATGCGGCACGATATTGTGAGACTTTAACAAAACTAAGGTGTGCCATTCAAAACAAACGAAGAGGAATTCTCAGTAAAGGAATTGTGTTGCTCATGACAATGCTCGGCCCCATACTGCTGGTGTCACTCAATCGTTAATTCGACAGTTTTCATTGGGAGCAGTTCGATCACCCGTCGTACAGCCCGGACTTTGGCCGCCGTTCGACTATCGCTTGTTCCTGCACATAAAGCGCGAGCTTGGTGGCAAGCGCTTTGGATCTGATGATGACACGAAAAATGCTGTGGAGTCGTGGTTATCGAAACTGGCGGGAAGTTTCTTTGACGATGGTACACAAAAACTGGTCACCCGCTATGACAAGTGTTTGATCATTGGCGGAAACTATGTTGAAAAATAGTTTAAGACATGTATTTTCATGTAAAAATAAAGTTGGATTCGAAAAAATTGTTTTACTATTTTTTTTTTTAAAACGGTACTTAGTTTCTGAATATGCCTCGTATATAACAAATATAGGCACATATATACATATAATACACATACATACATGCAATATAGAGCAAAAGTTTAAACATTACATCATTCCTGATACTGGACACTCAAATTTTAGCAATAAATTACTAACAAGCATCCAAGTATACAAATAACAATAAAAAATTAAGTATGTTATGTGTGTAACATACATATGTATTCCTCTTATTTTTCTCCTTTTTTTTTTATATATTTTTATGCATTTCTATTTTTTTTTTTTTTTTTTTTTTATGATTTCTTCTGGTTTAAAAATACTGGGTTGATGGGGTTTCTTACATTTTTTATTGGGACGTTTCAGGATTGTACTGATTTTATATTTCATTTCCTTCATGTCTTTGTGGTATTAGTTTGAAATTTATAACTTTTTGTCTATTATATATACATTTATGTGATATTTTACTGTGCGCTACTTAATCAGTCATAATGGCTGAGTGTAAAGGCAAAATGATAATACTGACAAAACTGAATTCGAAGGTTCACAATATTTATTCTTCTATATCATATTTAACTACAATAATTTTTATGTACATGGGTTAAGATATAATACTACAAAAAGGAGAACAATTAAGCATAGCAGCACAGAGATGTTTAAAATATAAAATATTTCTATCTTTCAAATAATGAATTAATAATAGCCTTTTAACTTCTGTTTTCATTCTAAAAATAACAATAATTTTTCTAACTAAACTCCCTGCAGTTCTGATGTGCACTTATTGATGAAATCTGAACCCAGCATCTGGACATTAATCTGTCACGTGATCTGAAATGGTATAAAAGGTAACTGCATCCCAACTCCTCCGCTCTTCTCTTCTGCTTTTTTCGCTGCATCACTTTGCTGCTAGCCACAGAGAGTTTACTTTTCTAATTTCATCCATTGTTTAACAAAATGTAAGCTGTACAAAATTGGAATGTTCATAGCACACCCATAGTGATGATGTGCATTATCATGGAATAAAATTATGTTTCCCAATGAACATCTGAAAGTTTTTTGGTTTATGCATCCAACTTTCTAACTACGCAGTAAAACCTCTCCAACTCCAATCCGTTGCAACTTACTTTCACCAACTCATTTTATTACACAGACATATATATATATCTTTTGTGTAATTTTGAAATAAAAAGGAATATTATTTAACATTTTTGAAAGATTAGTTAGTCGCGGCATGGTTTACTAAATGACAGGAAGAATGAAAAGTGTATTCGGCACTCATTAATTATCCAGGTTTAATGTTTTATATAATTGCCCCTTGAAAAGTTCTATTTGAAACATTAAGCAAAGGCTGAATAACAGTTTTTTTTTTTTTTTAAATTCACTTATCCTACTGTATATTTTTGACATTTTAATTACTATTCATATTGCCCTTTTAAGAATCAAATTTTCCAAATATTTTTCAATTTTAACAGTATAAGTAATAATGCATTCTTAGTCCCAACTGCATAGTAGTACATTTAATTCTCTATACAATTTTCCCCTAGGGGATAGAATAATCCTTTTTAAAAATTAAAAAAAAAAACTAATAATTTCTTAGTATATAAATAATTTAAATGGTCCCCACTGCTGCTCCCTACATCTCAGAAAGCATAGCATACCACACTCCTTCTCAGTAAGAAAACAGACAAACACTAAAAAGAACGTAAGTTAATTAATTCATATTCTGGCCTTTTATGTATATTATGTGCATTTGAATTTGTACATTTCCTTGTACCTTATTTTATAAATATATTTCAATTTTTCAACTTCTATTTCATTAATTTTGAAAAGATTGCGTTGTTTATGTTTATTATGTTTTTAAGGATTACTTTGAATTCCATTTCATAAATATAGCAAAGAATAAATTCTGTTTATTACATTTATAAAAATAGATTTGAATTATGCATGATTATGCATGAAAGCGAGGGTGTTGAGGACACTTTACTCAAACAAATGATAAAAAATTTTTTACTACCACTATCTAGCAGAGAAATTATTTACTCCTACTCAATTTGGCAATAATATCTCAAGATTTCTAAACAATTCATTAACTTAATGGAACTGCTACATTTAAAATTAATTCTTTATAGTAGTTCACTTTAATTCATCTCACTAATTGGATTAAAACTCGACTTACAAGTTTGGCTTTAACTCAAATTGCCAGTTTGGCATCATGCTTCTTACTTGAGTAACAGATGAAACACCTTTGCATTTATTCATTATTGTTAATTGAATGGGGGTTGGTTTATTTCTCCTTGAAAAGTCAACTAATTTCCGATCAATGAAGAAAATTATTACTTAGTTTATTAATATTTATTTTAAAAGTGTCCGTTTCTATTTTTCATGTTCCTTTAAAAATATCATTTTTGGGATTAAATTTCAGTGCTTCCGGGTTACTTCATTCAGATATATTCTACAAACTTTATATTAGGAGATAATATAATCAATATTACTTTAGTAAATAAATAATTATTATCCTACTTTGCAGCTATTGCGAAAGTATTAGAAAATTAATTTCGATTTCAATTAATTTCAATTAATTAATTCAATCTTACATATACATAATAGAGAGAAATTATTAAGGAAATATAACAAGAATTGAGAAAAGTACCAGATTCAGTGATTCTAATTGCTCTAGCTTTTGCAAGCTCTAAAGCAGTAACCCATCGCTGCCTCTCGATTTCGTTTGCTGCTTTTAAGTGGAATGTTTGAGTTCCTCCATTTGAAATAACAAAATTACTTGAATCCACTGTATGTATAACGGCACTAACTAAATTTATGGTTCCACGACACGTATGAGCAACTTCCGCAGGATTCCTAAAAAAGAATAAAATCTGGTATAATCAACTGGTATGTTTACATAACTTAAGGTTGTCATATATAAAATTCTCCATACGATTCCATTGCAAACCTTCATACTGAAAACTGCAGAAAATGATCTGAATTTTCCTTTAGTATAATAACAAAAAATGTTCAGGGGAATTTTTTTTTTTTTTTTTTTTTTTTGGGTTAAAGCAGACTAAAGTTGGCAAATTTGATTTGGTACTTTCTGATTATTGGCACCCATATAGAAAAGTCACTAACTCATCAGCAACTAATTTTTCGCAAGCTAATACGTGAAAAGCAACACACTTTCAAAATGGTGATATACAGGTTGAAGCAAGGCCAGCATATGTGCATCCATGTAGTCATACTAGCTATTGCCATGCCTTGCTAACTGCTAAGCTTCCTCTCCAATTGGAATTTCGAGGGAGAATACACCAGAGACAGTCCAAGGGTCTACCACCTTTCTTTCCCCTACCTCCATCCTCTGAAGAGGACTTCGTTCACCATGTATTTTGAGTGCTCCCTTGCCATACATACAGTATATGTTCCTTCTCCAGGATTCAAACCCAGGACCCTTGGTATGACAGCCACAAGCACTAGTCACTATCCTGTCCAAGCAACTGACAGTAGGAGTAGTCTGACTGAGTAGAAAAACAAACACAGTGGGCCATAGTTGCCTACTCAAGGGAACTAAAAGGGAACTATCATTCTTTTCTAACTGATGGTGCACTAAAAATGTTTGTAAGAGCAATCGATCAAAAAAATTGAAAAGGCAAACTAAACTGCTCAAAACAATTAAAGGATATTGTAAGTTTTATATAAAATAAAGATATAAGCGAATTTTTTTTTTTTTTTTTGCCGAAATGGAAGAAGAGAATCACAATGCAAATTTTTCTGATTTTCAAACTGTGGAGTATGCTAATTTTGAGTTCGACGTCAAAAACGTCGCTTCAGCGGCAGCGAATGAAATTTGATTTTCAACTAAATAAAAGACAATGAAGACAAGGATGATTGGCATTCAGTGACTGCTTTGTTTCGATGAGTACGATGTCTCAGCGAAGTCATTTAACCGATTCAGAAGCTTGGAGAGTTGTTGGTAGGTTAGAAGGGGGCCAAACTCAAGCCGAAGTAGCGCAAGCCATTGGAGTATAACAAAGTGTGATTTCCAGGATCTGAAACCGTGTTTTGGAAACTGGAAGTGCAGGCCGAAGACCAGGGCAAGGTCATAGACAGGCAACAACGCCCAATGAAGATCGTTATTTAGTGTTAACAGCTCGGAGACACCAAAATATGAATACTACTCTTCTCCAACAGCACCTTCACTCGGCTACTGGCACCACGGTTTCAACTCAGACTGTCCGAAACCGGCTCCATGGTGTAGGTCTGTATGCTCGCCGACCAATGGTATGTGTTAGACTAACATCAAGGCATCATCGCGACCGCAGGGAATGGGCAACAGAGCATGTGAACTGGAGGAGAAATGAATGGAGCAATGTTATTTTTTCTGACGAGTCCTGTTTTTCTATTCATCCCGATAATAGGCGTATTTTCATCTGGAGGGACCATGGCAGTAGGAATAATCCTGCGTTCGTGCACGAAAGTGTCAGATTTGGCGGTGAGGAAGTGTTGGTGTATAATGGCATCTCCATTGACGGGCGCACAGACCTCTACATCATTCAAGATGGACCTATGACTAGTCACCGATATAGGGATGAGATCCTCAGACCTATTGTAGTCCCTTACGCTGCAGCAATCGGAGATGACTTCATTTTAATGGACGATAACTGCAGGCCACATCGTGCTAACCTGGTGGAGGATTTTGTTTTCGAGGAAGGAATCGTATGAATGGAATGGCCAGTGTGTTCTCCAGACATGAATCCAATAGAGCATTTTTGGGACGCTCTAGGAAGACGAGTTGCTGACCTCCAATCACCCCCCACAAACTCTCCAAGAACTGGAAAGAGCTCTTCTGGAAGAGTGGGACAGAATGCCCCAACTTCTGATTAATAGCCTCACTGACTCCATGCCTCAAAGGTGTTCAACGTTGCTGGTCATCCGTGGAAACCATACCCCCTACTGAAAATAATTTCCTTTGAAGAAAACACATTTTCTTATTTTTTTTCCTCATATGCACAAATTGTGTTTTTTTCCTTTTGTACACAAATGTGCAATAAAATGCATTTTTTTCTACCAAACATGTGTAATTTATTCTCATATAACCTACTACGTCTGTCGACCATGTATCAATCAGCTAAAAGTTTCCCAGCCACAAGATCCACCTAAAACCGCAATATCCTTTAATTGTTTTGAGCAGTGTATATTGGTAATAAAATACATTTACTGCAGAGCCAGTGCTAGGAATTTTGCTAACCAGTATAGTCTCTGCAGGTCTTCAATTCTGTGCCCCATTGCCCTCCTAAATTCTACAAGTTTTCCCACCCCTAAATTCTGCTGCTCAGGGCTTCCCCTATATTAAAAAAATTTCGTCATACCTAAGGTACATTGTGATACTTTTTGTCATAATTTTGCAACTTGCTGCTTCAATACATTTTAAAAATAATATTGCTACCCAGTGTGGCAGCAACAGTTGCACTGCCTTCGAGAAACCCTAGAAGAATTATCTATGTTTTCCTCATCTTCACAATACTCTGGTACACTGTGCTACATCAGCATCATGCTCCAGACAAAACAAACATGTGCTACATGCACACCTGGGTTGATACATATTTATTTGGTGACATTGCCCCACAACTGTTTTGGAAATGTACTGCTTTGCCTTGTGAATACATTTTTATGACTTTTCGACCAAGTACGGTTTTTTAGAAAGTCTCCTTAATTCTCCAATCTGTGTTATGTAAATTGCAAAGGCCACTTTAAGAAGGAAGTATTGAAAATTTAGATTTTTTGAGTTATTTTATTATATGCATGACTGTCATATGGATTTTTATAAATCAAATTTCAGAACTAAAAATTAAAATTGGCTTACTCACAGAATAAAACATTTTTTTTTTTTTTTTTTTTTTTTTTTCAAATTTAACAGATATTTTGAATTTAAGTACAATACAGTTTTAAAAATAAAAACATATACTTAAAAAAGTACATTAAAAATAATGATAGACAAATATGCAAACATTTTTAGAAATTAAATAACAATTGGATAAAAAATTTCTTTTTGCTTTAGGAATTTAAACTATGCTTTAAAAGTTTAGATCTCTTACAATTTAAATGTCATCAGAACCTAGCAAATATATTACTGATTTATAAAAAAAAAAACAATAATTTTAAACTGCACAGGAAACTAAAAGGAATGAGCAGTGAAATATTAAATAAATTCAACCAAACACAGAAAAAGTAAAAACAAATCTTGAAGAAATTAACAAGCATATGTAAACTTAGCAAGGCAGTCATAACTGATCAATGCAATAAATCCAAAAAGTTGCTGAACACTGGTAGTTCGGTCCGAGGTTCGAATCCCGCGAACAGGCTGGCTGCATGGGTGTTTTCGTGGTTTTCCCCATGTGTAACGTGTATACAAGCCAGTTTCCCTTAGAAAGCCCTCCACGAAGGCATCCCTCCCATTAGGCAGATAGCCCTAGTGCGCTTTGCCATAATTAAATACACCAACACACCACCAAATCAAAATAAATTTTCTTGAAAATTTCAGTTTCAAATTAATTTTTATTCTCAATTTCTTTTCAAAACTGTCAAACTAAATGATCATGTTTAAATAAACGGAAACTTTCTGAGTAAACTGCTCTAATTTTTAAAAGCTACGGATTTAGTTACTGAATTAATGGCAAATTTACAAATTTTTGTTTTTTAGAAGCTATTTTAGCTGACTGCTTCCAAAAATGTAAATAACTTATTAAAAAATCTAAAATTAAATTGTTCTAAGAGGGAAGCAGCACTTCTTTCAAACCACACTATAACAGTAATTTAATGGACTGAATATTTGTATGCTATATATGATCTATGAGAAAAAATGATTGCCTCTGCCAACAGTGCAAAAATTACATTGATAAGTCACAAAAAAAAAAAAAGCTCATTACCACTGTCACATCTCCCAAAAGAAGTGAATGAATAATGCTACATTTTTAAGACTAAAAAGACAGCATTTATTGCTGTGTCTGAAAGTAACTACAATGTCCGACAAAGGTTTAAATAAGATTCTTATTTAAAAAGAACTTAAAAAATAAAGGTTTATGCTGACAAAATCAATTACAGCTCATAGTGATGTAATGAAACAAGAAGAGTCAAATTCAAACTAAAAATATGGATTAGCGGTCAAAGACTATACACTTTAATTTCATTTTAAGCTGGCTCAATAACTCTATCATCATAACAAATTCAAATGTCATTCAAATGTCAATTAGGTAATGCAAAGACGAATAATTACAAAATTATCAGAGCTGGCAGAACCTAATGCAGGAAGTAAGTGGAGGTCAGAAACACACTCTTGTCCTACACTCCAAAAACCTGTTTAAAAACTGTCTAAGTGATTTGCATTTTACTGAGAAAATAGAAATGGGAAATTAAGAGTAAGGGCTGAAATTGTATACAATTAGGTAATTTACATAATAATAACTGTACGTATCTTTGAAGAATAATTTTCTTTTTCTTTATGTATTCAGTTTCTTTCTTCAATGTTTCCTTTTCATTTTAAAATTTCTGAATTTAATTAAAGATTTCTGATATTCTAAATAAATTAAATGCATTTAGAATGCATAGAAAAAGCTGCTAATTTTATTTCTTTAGTAATATGTACATTCAGAAGAAATATTAAATATATATGGTACGCTTCGGTTAGAGAGCTGATGTGGCATGATTTTTAGAATTTAGTGACACGCTGAGCAATAAAGTAAAACTTTTAAAATTTAGAACAGGCATTGGAAGCAGAATTTAGAAAGGCACCGGGCAGCTGAATTTCAGATCCACAGAGACTGCATCAGATGGGAAAATGCTTAATGCCCCAGCCCTGTGTATGATGCATTAAGACATGTTAGATGAATCTTTTAAATTGTCAGTTTTCAATACCTTTATTAGTAAAAGAATTCCTTTCTAAAATGCCTGTCCATATGATAAGATTAGAAGCATTTTTGATACTTTCCATGTTTGTGTCTAGTGAAAAGTAGAGAAAATAAAGGGAAGATTAAAATGTTAAGAAAAAGATTCTAGTATCAGAAGTAAAACATTTAACTATAATGTTTTCATTGTTCTTCCAGACATTCACCAAAAAGTAAGAAATTATGTGTTAATACTATGGAGACATTTTTCATTTTTCTGGAATCTTCAAGAATCGTGGGTCTATAAATCTTGCCTTCATATCTTTCTAAACTTTTCAAGCTGCAATGTGTAAAATCCTAAAAAAAAAAGTTACCCCTATCAATTCTGTAACAGCATTAAGCCAGAAATATTTTGAAAAAAATCGGAAGAAAAAAGTGTAAAATTAATTTTATAAAGAAAAACAGGGCTTAATCTCTAAAATTAGATGTGCTGGAGCCCCGTGGAACACCGTTACGAAAGAGGTACAAAAATAAATAAATAAAAATGACTAATAAAATCACTAATAATTAAAAAATTAAATATTAATTATTAAAATAATTCAATAATTAATGCTTAAAGAAATTAAATAGTTTAAATAAAAATTAAAAATATGAGGAGATAAATTAAAATTTAACAAGCGATTTTTAATATAATTTTATTACTAAAAATAAAATTTTCAATATCAAATTTCTACTGAAATTTTGTTCAGGTACCAAAAAGAAGTGTTGCAGCTTTCTTATTTAGGGCTCCAGGTAGACTTACAATTTATTTCCAAAACTAAGAAGTACAGGAGCAGGGCTAGGGCGCAATTTACGCACTGGGAGGAAACTGATCTAATATTTTGAGACAATTACATGGGGAAAAACTCTTACCATGAAAATATTAAAAATACATTTTTAATTAATTACATAGCTAGTTTGCTTTGCTAAGAACTCTTTCGTAAATGGTGCTGTACACCTTGCTTATTTTCCACATGCAATAAATGGCCGAAATGAAAATTTATAATATCACAGCAAAAAATAAAAATACTTTATTTTAATCTTATCTCATAAATATAATTCAAAAATATTACCATTATTTAAATGAAATTTATAAATGTTACAATGTTCTAAAAAAAAAAACTGTTGAAATTCCTAGATCTCGGAATTAAAAATTTTCTATAGAAACAGATCTTAAAATCACCAAAACGTTGATAAGTCACCAAATTTAGAATTAAAGAATTCACATCACAAATAGCGAAAAGTTGTTTAAGAGCTCTTCATTAGAAAAAACGAAATAATTTTGAAATGCTTATGTTTCACTTCTTGCTCAGAAACTTGAGTATCCCACCATTTATATTAGAAATAGGAACAAATTATAACCCATGAATCCATTCAAAAGATAACCATATTTGTCACCAAATTGCCAAAAATATTACTCCAAAATGTTAATTCACACTCAAAATGGCAGTCCTAAAAACAGACAGAAATTTCAGATGATTAAAGTTATGGACCTAATGACAATTTTGGCCGAAATTAAGGACTTTTAAGGACCAAAAATCGATTCCAAAAAACTTAAAAATTTTTAAGAACTCTTAAGGACCATATGAACCCTGTAATACTTCTAAACAAGGTTTATACTATTTCACACTTATTTTGGTAGATTAGAGAATTCATTTTCCTTCTTTTAACAGCTCTGAGATTAAATATTTATTACTATCATAATGATTTTATATGTTCTAGCAGCACTGCAACAATCAAGAATTGATACTCTAACTTTTCCTGGACTGAGGAGGAGGTGCATATCTAATGACAAATTCAGAAAAAATAACAGCAGATCCAGGATAAGACAGATTACAGAGAACTAGATTTAAGACACAATGTGTCGAATCAGGTGGATTGGCAGATTACAAAGAACTGGATTCAAGATTTGATGTACCAAATTACACAGAACTATTTTAAAGACATAATGTGAAAGATCATGTCAATTGCTGGATTAAAGAGAACTAGATTTAAAGATGCAATGCAACAGATCATGTGGATTGGCAGATTACTGAGAACTAGATTTAAGATGCAACATCCCAAATCATATGGATTGCCAGATTAATAGAGAACTAGATTAAAGATACAATCTGCACTGAAAATGCGATGTAAAATGTTTTCAATCACAAAGAGCTAAACACACATTACAAATAACTTGAAGTTAGATATATAATTCAATAATATGGAGATTTCAAAATACTTAAACAACTATAAAAATAGATTAAATTACACATGCCACTTACCTATAGTATGAGAGAAGGCCATTATATAATACAAACCAGCGTTTCTGATAACCTTTCAGATAATTTGTCCACTTATACAACCAGCCTTTCATTTCTGGCTCTGGAGCAGATTTAACCTCAGCCATATCAACAGATTTTTAGCTAGGGGGGGGGAAAGAATAAAGCTTATCAGACTGATAAATGCAAAGTTATATGTACTTGCTTTATAAAAAATAATATACTCATAATCACCAAGATAGATTTTTGATTACACACTTTAACTTTGGCAAATGAAAGAAAAAATAAAACAGTGGGACCAAAAACTAGTGAACTTAGTTAATTATAGGGTGGTATTAATATATTTTCCATTTTTGATTTATTATTTATCTGAATGAAAAATATTTCCATTATTCTCAATGGCAACAAGGTGATTAATAAAAATAGTTACTTTCTTAAGAGCAGTTTCACTACAGTAGGCGCTGTTTAATAGAATCACATTTGTCCGTGGCTATTTCAATTACATTAATCAAATAATAACATTAAATGATGAGGAAAAAATATTTTTTAGATCAGCAATGGAATTTAACAATTTAATATTAACATAATTAGAAACATATAAATAGGTATGTCCACAGAATTTTAATTATGGAATTGCAAAAGTTTGCTTATGAAATGTTCATAACATTTCCAGAAATTATTTGACCGATTCTCTATCCCTAAATTAAATTATTTGTCTCTAACCTTAATAAACAGAGGACACCTCTCATTGGAAGAACACATGCCAATGTAAAATTTAATATTAAGCAAAAAAATAAGCATGGATTTCAGTGAAGCCATTGGCATCAACAATAGTTTGGCGATTTTTTACGGCCCTCAAAACCGAATAGTACCTAAAAATCAGTTAATTTAATTATCAAAATTTAAGTTATAACACTTAAATATACTAAAATTTAGTGTGAAATTTGGTTGTCTTTAAGAGACATCATTTTTTATTTTCATGTCTAGTCATATTTCACTTAGTTATTTTTCAAATATAACATGGAAGAAAATCTTTGTTTACACAAACAGGTTATGTGAAAAAGGAATAAAAGTTTAATAGCTTTATTTGAAATGCTTTCAAAATCTTTTTTTCGGTTCAGCCAAAATTTCAAAAGGGTTTTATTTTTGAAATCTTTAGTTGAAGTTTGATCACAAGAAATTTCTATCAATTGTTCTTTACCTTCACGAGATAAAATTTCAGGTACATTTGAACAAAATAGATCTTTAATCCAATTTTCTTTTCATAATCCTCTTGAAAATACAGTCAAAAGTCGTTAATCTGGACTCGTCGGGACTTCGGCGATTCCGGATTATCGATTTTTCCGGATTACAGATCATCAGTTTAAATCTGGTAAGACGGCATGCAGAAATTATAAAATTAAAAATATGAAACCGTAATTTATGAAATAAAGAACAATTATGATCTAAAGGGTATCAAAATTTACAAAAAAAAAAAAAAAAAAAAAAAAAAAAAAGCTTAATATTTATTTGTTTATTTTATTAAACATTTCTTTCAATGTAAGTTGTTTAAGTTGCTTTGTTTTTAATGTGATAATACATTTTATTTAATTCTATAAACAGACATAATTTCTTGTTCAGTTACAAAGTTCCGCTGTTCAGGTCCTATAATTGCTGTGTTGAGAATGCCGACTAATTTGTCAATCGAAATGTTTTCGTTTTCAATAACCTCTCTGTCACTTTCTTCACTATCGGAAGCGGATTATAATGATGAGGAACTTGATTTAAATCATATCAAAGACGGAGTACATCGAGATGAAATACTACATTTAGTAAGGAATTATAAGCCAAATAAAATAAAAACATCTGCCCTGAAGATAAGGATAGTGCTGACAAATCAACTTCCAATTCATTGCGTGCACGGCGTTAAAGATAAACAAACGTTAAAGTTTAGATAAACAAAGGATATGCCTTTATCCATTTTTTGCAGCAATTTCACTTTTTGTTTAATAGACTTCGAAACATACTTTCGCGTTGTGCATCCTTTACATATTAGTAAATATATATCAGAAATTCTATTTGACATAATCGAAAGTTCAAGCTTACTTTTATAAAATTGCTCTAACAGTCTGCAAAAAATAATAAGCTGGATCCAGTTCGAAGATTTAGGAACAACGCAATCTGCAACATTAACTGAAATAGATAATTAGATAATTTTAGCTTAGCTTACACTATTCGTTATACATTAAACGCGCATTCGTAAACGTATTTTGCGCACGCGCACACACATATTCGCAGACGCAAAGGTCTTCTGCGCATGCGTCAACGCTTACATTGAAAGAAAGTTTGTAGCTTTGAGGTCCGGATTATAGATCATTCCAGATTATGGGTGTCCAAATTAACGACTTTTGACTGTACATGTTAAAATTATTATTGAAAAACAATGTTTTTTACTGCGGGATGCTGATTCTTTTATTTTCAAATTATTTTCAGTTAGAAAACTTTCTTAAAGTGGTAAAAAAGCTTGAAATATTATTATCCAATTCTTTGATTATCAGCTTGAGTTTTTTTTTTATCATTGCATTTATTTTATCTCTAATGGTAAAAAAATTAACAATCTGGCCTTGTAATCTTAAATTTAATTCATTTAAGTTTCCAAAAATACCAGTTAAATATGCTACACATGCCAACCATAATTCACTAAATAAACATTTTTGCAATTCCAATTTTTATCACAAAAGAAAATTTGAATTTCTGATCAAAGTTCAAAAAGACAATTTAAAACTCTGACTCTAAATAATTAACTACGTTACTTCATAATGTAACAAAAGCGTTTCATGTTCACTGCCCATCTCTTGGCAAAAATTCGTAAATATTCTACAATTTAAAGCTCAGCTTTTAATAAAATTAACAATTTTCACAGATTGATTCAAAGCAATTTCAGGTTTTGAAGATTGCTTTGGCTACTAAAGCTCCACGATGAATGGTGCAATTTTCTTTATTTGAAAAATAACACCAGCTGTTAAAGCCCGAGCTCCTCTCTGCATATGGCAATGAACTTATTCCAAGTAATATCATTCTCAGACATAAAATTGTCAATTACTTTGAAAATTTGATTTGCAATTGCTCTATAATGAAAAGATTCACAAAATAAATTATATTTTGTATTTCATTTATCTTCTTCGAAACATATGTAAACTAATAATTGAATAAAATTCTCTATATCAATACTTTCATCGAACTGCAATGCGAAACGCTCACTTTGTTTAATTTTTTGAAAAAAGTGTCTCTTTTATGGAATTTGCCATTTCATTAATTTGTCGACTTACTGTATCATTCGCTAACAGGATATCATTACGTTTATTAGTCACCTTTTTCATTGAATAACGGAAAGAAATAGCTTTAGCTGCTGGTAACAACATAAGTTTTGATCCAATAGTGTGAGCCTGCCAGTCTTGGCAAATTTTAGGCTTACTAGGTAACTGGCTTCCAAAGACTTTTCATTTAACCTTTTTGTCCCTGAATCCATGAATCTGATCTTCATTTTTCAGCTTCAGGTTCTAGATGTTTTGGCATCAATGGATGAGAAATTTTAGAGTTAAAATAAAAATCTTACATACAAGACTAATAGTATGCATATGTACCAGTAATAATATGGGTTGGTACATATGCTATTGTTGTTGCTTATCCTCGAAAGGTCCAGCTCCAGAAGGTTGTTGACCGTCAAAAAATCAACAACAGTGAGGAGATTGGATGTTAAGTCCTCCTTAGAAAGTACGATGCAACCCAGTATGCGATGCAACACAGCATTTTTTACGAACGAGGTGGATTCTTCTGCCACTATCAAAGGAAAGTGGCCAATAGTTAGTTTAGTCAGAATGGTCTGGGAGCAATGGTCATATTTGATTTCCAGTAAGGAGCCAAAGGATGTTCCTGTGTATCATTGGTGCATAGGTGGAATATTGCCATATTATATTTAGATCTTTCATATACGGTAAAAAGTCCATAATCTGGACTCGTCAGGACTTCGGCGATTCCGGATTATAGAGCATCAATTTAAATCTGGTAAGATGGCATGCAGAAATCATGCAATTAAAAATATGAAACCGTAATTTATGAAATAAAGAGCAATTATGATCTAAATGGTATCAAAATTTACAAAAAAAAAAAGCTTAATATTTATTTATTTACTTTATTAAACATTTCTTTCAATGTAAGTTGTTTCATTTTATGTGCTAATACTTTTTCTTTAATTCTATAAACAGACATAATTTTTTGTTAAGTTACAAAGTTCCACTGTTCAAGTCCTGTAATTGCTGTGTCGAGAATACTGACTAACTTGTCAATCAAAATTTCTTCATTTTCAATAACGTTTTATTAATAAACATAACCTTACATATAGTGAAATCCGCATGGTGTTATACACTGGATTGATGTCATGGTACTTAAATTACCGTAGTGGTATACTTTGCATTAATGGTAAATGTATTCTGCAGGTATTTTTAAACATCAGTGGTACACATGTGTACTGTTACTTTCTTCACTATCGGAAGCGCATATGGATAAATGCTTTACTGCCTTTACGTGCATGCATAAGTTTGTGGCTTTGAGATCCGGATTATAGATCATTTCGGATAATGGATGTCCGGATTAGAGACTTTGTACTGTATATACCAGATAAACAAAAAGATAAATAATTTCTAAACTCTAAGTAATTCATACATATTTGATATTCTATTTCTTTTCTAAATGTATTATAAGTATTACAGAATAAAATTATGTACAAAATCAAGCTTATTCTTGCACAAATTTACTGTAAAATGTACAATACAGGTACTCAGTGGTATATTAACTAACATAACTTTACACATAGTGAAATCCGCATGGTGTTATACACTGGGTTGATGTCATTGTACTTAAACTACCGTAGTGGTATACTTTGCATTTAGTTATAATGGTAAATGTATTCTGCAGGTATTTTTAAATATCAGTGGTAAACATATGAACCGTTCGGGACGAAAGGATTAAAGTAACAAAAACCCTTCATTACGCGTTTACTATTTTTGAATTCCAATAATTTTCTCTTAAAACATTCTTCAGATTTATCCTTTAAATTGGCTTTCTTAGATTCAAGATGTCTTTTAAGAAGTGATGGTTTCATACTT